TGTCCACAGAAGCAATCAATCAATAAATCAGACTCCAAACTCTCCACCATGGCCAAGACGAAAGAGCTCTCCAAGGATGTCAGGGACAAGATTGTAGACCGACACAAGGGTGGAATGGGCTACAAGACCATTGTCAAACAGCTTGGTGCGAAGGTGACAACAGTTGGTGCGATTATTTGCAAATGGAAGAAACACAAAAGAACTGTCAATCTCCCTCGGCCTGGGGCTCCATGCAAGATCTCACCTCGTGGAGTTGCAATGATCATGAGAACGGTGAGGAATCAGCCCAGAACTACACGGGAGGGTTTTGTCAATGATATCAAGTCAGCTGGGACCATAGTCACCAAAAAAACAATTGGTAACACACTACGCCGTGAAGGACTGAAATCCTGCAGCGCCCGCAAGGTCCCCCTGCTAAGAAAGCATATATACATGGCCGTCTGAAGTTTGCCAATGAACATCTGAATGATTCAGAGGACAACTGGGTGAAAGTGTTGTGGTCAGATGAGACCAAAATGGAGCTCTTTGACATCAACTCAACTCGCCGTGTTTGGAAGAGGAGGAATGCTGCCTATGACCCCAAGAACACCATCCCCACCGTCAAACATGGAGGTGGAAACATTATGCTTTGGGGGTGTTTTTCTGCTAAGGGGACAGGACAACTTCACCGCATCAAAAGAACGATGGACGGGGCCATGTACCGTAAAATCATGGGTGAGAACCTCCTTCCCTCAACCAGGGCATCGAAAATGGGTCGTGGATGGGTATTCCAGCATGACAATGACCCAAAACACACGGCCAAGGCAACAAAGGAGTGGCTCAAGAATAAGCACATTAAGGTCCTGGATTTGCCTAGCCAGTCTCCAGACCTTAATCCCATATAATATCTGTGGAGGGAGCTGAAGGTTCGAGTTGCCAAACGTCAGCCTCGAAACCTTAATGACTTGGAGAAGATTTGCAAAGAGGAGTGGGACAAAATCCCTCCTGAGATGTGTGCAAACCTGGTGGCCAACTACAAGAAACGTCTGACCTCTGTGATTGCCAACAAGGGTTTTTCCACCAAGTACTAAGTCATGTTTGCAAAGGGGTCAAATAGTTATTTCCCTCATCAAAATGCAAATCAATTTATAACATTTTCTGTTGTTATTCTGTCTCTCACTATTCAAATAAACCTACCATTAAAATTATAGACTGATCATTTCTTCGTCAGTGGGCAAACGTACAAAATCAGCAGGAGATCAAATACTTTTTTCCCTCACTGTAAGGCCCCACCGAGCTATATAACTCTTTTTCAAAAGCTCAACGAAGTGGCTTATCATGTGGAAATGTATAGCAGCCAAATACTCTAAATGCATGTTTTTAAATGGGGAGGGAACAACCGGAGAAAATTCCACACGACCATGAGAAGGAAGTTTCAAACTTCAAATATACAGATGTCAGGGTCGGGATTGAACCCACGGCCTCCTGCATACCAGGTGAGGTAGTTAACATCTCGTCACCGATCTGGTTAGCCGTTAAATGTGATGTAAAGAGGGGTTATTTCCCGAAACGTTGCCTATTATGTTTTCTTTGTAAGACAGTTTTACTGACGGATATGTTGAGTTTTTATTTATTTGTAATCTGGCCATTGCCTGGCTAAGACGGTGACGTCGATATTGCTAATTGCTTTCAAAAGCGTTTTAGAATCCATTCAAAAATCTTTGTGTTTTGGACGTGCGTGCTTTTCAAGCCAAAATTGGTGTCATCAGAGGACATCACTTCAAGTGGCACGAGGACATGTTAATTGAGTGCATAATTTTAATTATCAGAAAATCTGAATTCATCCTTTAAAAAATAAGACAATCCGAAGTGCAATTTAAAAAAAAGATGGGATGTTCATCCCTCGCATACCCTAACCTCTGAACTCTCAGAGATTGAGTGGAGGGGGGGCATGTAGAGTTCCAAGCACCAGGGTCAAACAACGCTCCCCCCCCCCCCCCCCCCGAGTGAGCGCTCACCAACGCCGCGCCAGCTCACTCTGCGCGCTTTGCTCAATAAAAAATGATTAATTGTCAAGATCACGGAACGGGAATGAGCGCACACCACGAAAGAATTCGCAACACATTTGGCCACCAAAAATGCGGTAAATCAAAACGCCTGGCACGGCGAGGGTCGCCGACCGTAAGCGTCTTGGAATTAACAGAAATAACGGAGGCTCTGCGTAATTAAATACCTGGCTCGTGCGGAAAACTGAGCGACGCTAAATGAGGGCTATGGTTTCTCGCCGATGGCGGTAGCGGGGCCGGCGGCGGGGGGGGCAGGTGTATTTACACAACGCGCAGTGATTGAGCGCCCGGTCAACCGTCACCATGGCACCTCGTCCGTTGTTGTTGTTGTTGCGCTCGTGGGATTCACGGACGGTCGGCGCGAGTGGCCGGCTTCCGTCCGCACCTGTGCCGCCCTCCTGCCGTGCCGCTGCCAGTGCCACCCCCCGGTGGATTGGGGAGGACATCGCTGAGTGCGCCGCACGACGGTGATGCCCCCACTGGGCCCAGTGGAGAAAGTTGGCGGTGATGAGAGGGCAGTGTGGTGGTGGAGGTGGTGGTGCGGGGTGCAGAAAACAAAGACAGCGATCCAAATTAGTTTGAGGGTTTGGCTACGTCTTGTTAGTCTTATGCCAGAATTCATTGTCATTCATTATAATAATTTTGGCACGAAACTGCCACGATGGGGTTTGACCAAAAAAACGAATCAGGATCATAGCATTGGCTATGAAAACCCACGTTTCAAGTTGACAGAGACTGTTTTGAACAACGGTGGACTTGGCAGTGCCCGGTCGGGGTCTCAGACCGGTGAGTTGCCGGCGATTGACATCTGGTGAGCGGTTTCAGGAGGGTGCCGAGTAACCAACCCTGCGATCACGTCCGGTGAATGTTCTGGTGAGCGGCGAGTGGTGGGCGTGTGGCGGTTGTGCTGGGATCGTGTCTGGTGGGTTTCTCGTGAGTGGAACCAGGAGAGGGGTGAGTTGCGTGGTAAGGAGTGTCTCGCGTGCGGCGAGTGTTAGTCGTGGTTTCCCCTGGTTGTGTCTGGTGGGTAGTCCGCAAAGTGGCGTCACGAGCTCAAGTTTCAAGTTGATTTTGTTTAACGAGGTGAGCACTCAAGAGACCAGGATGAGTCTCATTTGCGAGAGTAACCTCGGTCATCAGAAATACGAAATAAACCAACAAAGGTCAGCAGAGTCTGTTCAGTGCGTCTGGCGAGAGACACAATCATTGTGACTTCCGCACTCTGGCTACGAGACACACAATCAGATAAGGAAAACTTAAAATAAACAAGTTACATATAAATAATTTCTTTATTAACAAATACTCATTCGCGCACGAGAGCTCCTCCGGTCAGCCTAGCCAGCACCCCAGCTGCTCTGCGGCTGGAGCCCGCCACCTGGAGGTCCCTGCCCCTCGAGGTCCCTGCCTCTCGGTCTCCTGCCCACGGGAGGCTCCGCGCGCCACCTGGTGGCCACGGCGAAGGCCGATATCGAAACGCGACACAATGGGAACAATGGACACTGACCTACAAGGGAGACAATAAACACATTGGGTAAGTCCTCGCTTAACGAGTGTTCACAAAACGCGTTTTATCACTCTTACCCTCACCCCTTATCGCTCTCACCTGCTGGCGGAGCGGGAGGCTTCGAGTCAGGCTGTGCGTCACCCATCATCGTTATCATCAGCAGGAATCGTTATTTTCACGCGGACGGTTGAAGGGTGTGCTTCCATCATCATTATCCATAATTCGTGTCTCATCGTTATCTTCATCCATTTAGCATACTATATTTGAAAAGGATGCGTTGGCTGTGTAACCTGGGTGGGTTCCTGTCTGGCCGGGTGCCGCCATCTCAAGCGCGCGTGAGGTAGTGGCATCACCCGCACCCCGCAGCGTTGAGCCGCGTTCGTGCGTGAGATACGGTGGAGGGGACAGAGGAATTGAGAAACAGATCAACAAAGACAGCGAGAGAACTCGAGATAAGTTGCGATAGACAGCACAGTACAGAGAAGGCAAGAGAAAGGTGGAGACGGATCTCTGTATAAGAAGAGAGTACTGGAAATGTTGTGATGGCTGGGAGGGACGGTCACGTGTCAACGGTTGCGAGTGTTTATCTACTGTAGATGTGTAAATACATCATATGCAAGGCGACTGATGGATTGTCGCATCTCAGGACCGTGAGAGGCGATGGACCTTAGGGAGGAAGCCTTCGTCCAGCAGTGAACCGATCACGGCCGATAAATGGTGACGATTGAACGCGGGTGGAGGGCCCCTAGCAGGCTGCAGAAGGACCTGAGCACGATGCTTCCGTACAAAATGCCAGTCCTCGCGACGAGATTAACGAACCTCAGGGGGGGGGGGGATTTAAATAGGGGCTGCAGCTACCCGTCTGGGGCATTGAATTGTGCGAGCTATCCCACCCCTCCCTCTCAACCAAAAATGTATATGCGTGTACATACACCAAAGATTGCGCCTCCACTCAAGAAAGCCGATTTGGAAAGACTCACCCACCCACGACTTCCAAACACAAATCTCACCTGGACACAAGAATGGGAGTCATCGAAACCTTGCAAACAAGTACCTGGTGACTTCCCCCACACAACAGCAGCCCCATGGTTTCAACCTCCCCAGGAAGGGGTCCACCCTCGACAGGTTCATGCCTCGCCAACCTCCACCGATGGGGCACAAGAGCAAGTCCCCGCTATGTGTCTGTGGGGTAGGAGGAGCAAACCATTCAACCACATCCTAGAAGTCTGCTCAATCCCAGAGGCTCAGCGCAGGTCTACTCACTCTCAACACAGGAAGGACTGGAAGCAACCGCTTATTGGCTTTGGGACTTTGCATTTTGCGAAAAAAATATTTTTTTTTTAAATGTGTATACACACACAAAGTGCGAGATTGAACATTCTGTAAGAAAATCTAAGCAGACATTGGCATGTAACCATCGCGAAACAACGGACAGAAATGTTGAATCCAAGCGCGGCGGGCAGACGAATATCGGTCTGCTAGATTTATTACGAAATTTGCAAATACTGCTCTACCAGCACACGTTATCAAACATTAAAATATAGAGCGTGGGGATCGGCGTTGTCAGTTACAAAGTATTCTACCTGCCAATGGGGGGGGGGGGGGGACACACACGTGGTCTTCGCGCGCGGATATTTGTGTCAACTTTAGAAGAACATCGATGCATAAACACGATCTCGACCCGAAAAACAAATCTCCACAGCTTACGTCGACAGCTTCCAGTCGACACGGCGAGTCGACGCACGTAGACAAAGGCGCAGCCCTGCAATCGCGAGCCCACGACACTTCCACAAGAATGACGTTTCCTGCACGGAGCTCATGAGTGGTATTTGACCTTCTCTCTCCCTCCCTCGCCGAACGCCTATGGAAGAGGTGGGTGCCGTCTATAGGACGGGAGGTGGGTTCACCTAGGGTCGTCTATAGAATGGGAAGTGGGTGCACTCAGGGTCGTCTATAGGATGGAATGTGGGTGCACTCAGGGTGGTCTATAGGATGGGAGGTGGGTGCAATCAGGGTGGTCTATAGGACGGGAGGTTGGTGCACCCAGGGTGGTCTATAGGATGGGAGGTTGGTGCACTCAGGGTCATCTATAGGACGGGAGGTGGGTGCACTCAGGGTGGTCTATAGGACGGGAGGTGGGTGAACTCAGGGTGGTCTATAGGACGGGAGGTGGGTGCACTCAGGGTGGTCTATAGGACGGGAGGTGGGTGAACTCAGGGTAGTCTATAGGACGGGAGGTGGGTGCACTCAGGGTAGTCTATAGGACGGGAGGTGGGTGCACTCAGGGTAGTCTATAGGATGGGAAGTGGGTGCACTCAGGGTGGTCTATAGGACGGGAGGTGGGTGCACTCAGGGTGGTCTATAGGATGGGAGGTGGGTGAACTCAGGGTAGTCTATAGGACGGGAGGTGGGTGCACTCAGGGTAGTCTATAGGATGGGAAGTGGGTGCACTCAGGGTAGTCTATAGGATGGGAGGTGGGTGCACTCAGGGTGGTCTATAGGACGGGAGGTGGGTGCACTCAGGGTGGTCTATAGGATGGGAGGTGGGTGCACTCAGGGTGGTCTATAGGACGGGAGGTTGGTGCACCCAGGGTGGTCTATAGGATGGGAGGTGGGTGCACTCAGGGTGGTCTATAGGATGGGAGGTTGGTGCACTCAGGGTGGTCTATAGGACGGGAAGTGGGTGCACTCAGGGTGGTCTATAGGACGGGAGGTGGGGGGTGCGGTGGCCCCGGGGCAAATCACACAGAAAGTATTGCATCTTGTGGAAGCGCGGGGGGGGGGGGGGCCCGGGGCAATCGCCCCGATTTCGCCGTACCCGAGGGACGGCTCCTTGGGTGTACCACACGTGACATCACGCGACCTGCCGACCCATTTACACTGCTGGGTGCAACAGACGCAGGTGGGGATGCAAAAAAGAGAAACAACAAAAAAACTGGCGTCATTGTTTCCACTGCCACGTCGGGGGAACGAAGCTCTGACCGACGACCGCTTTGAGATTTGCAAGTCGGGTGGTGCCAACCGTTCCACCACGGCAGTAAAACCCCCGACGTTCTTGTAAAGTCGACATGAATAACGCTCGTGCGAAATGGCCCAATGAGGGGGAGGGGGGGGGAGTCCTATGTGGCCCCTCGACTGCTAATAAAGTTCGCGTGTTTGTGTGCATGTGGGTTGTGTGTGTGGGGCTTGTGTGTGGGTTGTGTGGGTTGTGTGTAGATGTGGGTTGTGTGTGGGTGGGTTGTGGGTGTGGGTTGTGTGTGTGGGTTGTGTGGGTTGTGTGTGGGTTGTGTGTGGGTGGCTTGTGTGCGAGATGGGAGACTCGAGTCATCAAGTCCAGTCGCGCGACTTGCGTGGGGGCAGGGTGCTTCCCCCCCTCCCTGCCTCCTGGTGGCCAAAGTTACGAGTTGGGGTCCCCTTTACAACCACCGTGAGATGGTTTCAACAACAGTGTCAAAGAACACACCAATTATTTATGACGCGGCTTAATTTTTTATTTATGAAAATGCTTTCATTTACGTTCCACGTTGTATTTTATTTTAATTAGGAGCAGTGATGTAAAATCGCAGAGGTACTACTATACGACATAGGTGTAGTTGCTGCATTTTTCAGAAACGGATCGCCCCTACAGCGTTAAATGTTCGAGACCCTGAGCACAACAATGCGATTAGGAGCCGCGATATACAGGGGGTGATTAAAAAAACCCAATGTGAACACTTCTAAGAATTTGCAACAACACCACGTGACATGTGCTGCCACCTCCAGGCTCTGGAGACCACCTGGAGAAGATTCCAGGCCACGTGTTGACAACGATGGCGCGCAAGTGGGAGACTGACTTTTTGAAGCTATTAACATTCCATTTGTGTTCATGTTAGAGTGTTCTTTTTCAATTAAAAACGATAGTCCCATGTGAGTGCTCACATTTTTTTTAAGCGCCCTGTATAATAGCCGAGGTGCGAGACAACTCAAATATTGGGGCCACACGCTGACCGATTGCCCCACACCCCCCTGAGCTGATAACGTGGTCACTACGCCATTGGTCAAGCCCCTTCAATATGCCCCAGTGGGGGCCATCAGGCTGAACGCGATGCGACGCGGATCGAAATCGCTTGTGTTGCCTTTTTTAAAGTGTGGCAGTGGTTGTGTTTGTTACGTGTACTCCAAGGATTGCTTCTCCGATGTTTTCTGGTTACTGCGTGTTAAGCCACGCGACGCTCGACGTTTTGCTGCAAAGTGCATGGGGGGGGGGGGAGCATTTATAGCGAGTCCAGTTGCTGAACCGTTCGGTTCATTGAAGAAGCTCCCAACACGGCAAGCGAAACGTCGGACATCGTGCCGATCAAGACGCGGTACACACCCGACAATGCGTCGAGCAGCTGCACAGCCGATCTTCGGGAGGGGGGAAACCCCTACGCAGTAGCACTAATTGCCCATCTCATTCTTTTTTTGCCAGACGGTGCGTCCACCAAAGATCAGACCCACAAGGTAACTCAAGTGCGGAGTTAGGCATTCCACTACGAACGAATCTGGTTTTGCATGCAGAGGCGTCTCCGTTTACACTGCGAGTTAAACGCGAAACGTAAAAACTAGCAACACAGAGAAGTTTAAGAAATTACAAAACGATACGGCATGTTTTGCTCAATGGAAAGATGGAACCTTTAACGAGACTATATGTACTTTGGTGATGTTTCTTTTTTGCTTGGTGTAGAAATGTAAATACATTGTAACATACAATAAACCAACACTTCCATCCATCATAAACCGAAAACCTCCACAGCGATCATTAGGCCAGTGGACGAGAACTTGAAAACAACACGGCACAAACGAAACCAAAATCCTTATCAACGAGCCTACTCGGTTGTGTGGCCACGGGGAAATGAAAAACACCTGTCGGATTTCCACCCAACATTTACATCCCTCCAAAAAAATAACATTTACATCCGCCTTCGTCCATCCACTGCTGGACGAGGGCCTCCTCCTAAACACGCTCCGCCAGTCAATGGAGGCTGTTCGACTGTAATTGTTAATGGGGGCCCAGGGTTAGTGTTGGTGACGTGGGTGGAGGCCCCCGGGGGGTTGGGGGTAGATCAGTAATTGTCTCAGATCTGACTCTCCACTGACGCTCTCCACGGCCACGAATCAAATTCAGGTTGCTGGGCCCACAGTGCAGTGTGCGCGAACCCACCGCGCTGCCCCCCGGAGTGAAACATTTCACCCCGTCGAATGTTCTCGATAGGAAACGTTTAACTCAATGGGAATAAACAACGCATGGAAACCCCCACAATTGCCCTTCTCCATCGTCAGGCCAGTGGAGTCCTTGCGTACTCTTCACAATCCTCGTTCTTTAAACTGTTTTTTTAAACTAGATCTGAAATTGTCACACCCCCTACCACCACCCCATGTGAAATGGATAACTAGCGCCATCTACCGAGCCGTTTCAGAATCCCCAAGCTTGTGCATTGCTCAACATTTCCCAGCAACGCCTGCCCCCCCCCCCCCCCCCCCAAGGTGTGAAAATGTACTGCACCATCTGCCACGCAGGGGGGGAGGGGGGGGCACATGACCCACTCCAGCACTCAGTGGATGAACGATAGGCAGCTAATAATGCATCGATTCTCAGGAGTAACATGGATTCTTACGCTTGCAACACAAAGCATCAATTCATCATGTGCGTAGGAATAAATTATTTCCGAGTCGCGTGTGTGCGTGGCATGCAAATGGTCTCCGCCGGCTTAGGGAGGCCTTCATCCAGCAGTGGATTGACCATGGCTGTTGATAACGATGTGGACTTTAGCAGCGCAAGCGTGCTCACTTTTGTCCAGCCAGTACACTCATCCCTGTCCTCAAAGAGCACCATAGTCTTATGTAATGGCCCTTATCTGTGCACTCGGAGGCCAGATGCACGACACGCGCTTGCTGCTTGCCCCGTGCTTGGGAATCCAGATGAGTTTAAGGATGTGCAATTGTACACAATGGTCAACAGTTTTGATGTTACGGTGTATATGGCCTTTTAAAAGCCGAGCATTCCACTGTGTGGTGCAACAGTGCCTGGGGCTGCAGGTGTAGTGCTGGAGTGGGAGCTGGTGCAGCGGCATGTGTCGGCGTGTAGTGTAGCGGGTAGTGTAAGCGGGTGGCGGCGCTGGTGTTGATTCAGTCTCGGTTGCTGGCGTCGTGCCCGCTGGCGCTGGCTGTAGAACTCAACACCTCCTCGAAGTTGCTGCTCGCCTGGCCTTCTCCACCTACCTTGGACTGCAAAGCAACAGACGATGAAAGCAGTAGTTACAAAAATTACGGACGATGAAAGCAATAAGTGGCGGCTTACTGGCTCAGAGGTCCAAGCTATTGAGTTGTCAACACTGATATCCTGAGTTCAAATTCTATTAACTAGTCATAATAAACGTTTTTGGGTTAGATCGCGTTATTTATAAATGTGTCGTATCCCTCCACCACCCGACACGGCCAATCAGTAAAAAAAAGTGTCACGTTGACAACAAATAGTTCGCTACTTTAGCCCACTGGTGTGTTGAAGAGTGAATCCACAAACAATAAAATAATAAAATATATATAAAACAATAAAAATTCTCACATTTTGACCATAACACAAACGGTCGTCATCAGGTGTGTCGGTTTGCATACATTTATTTATTTTGAAACGGTGTATTTATTTATAAAAAAAAATAATAAACGTCAGCGCCACGCACAGCGATTTTTGTTCATTGTTTTATATATATTTTATTATTTTGTTGTTTCCCTTCAACGTGACTTTACCGAAAGAGCTAAGAATATGAATTACTGCAGTCACGAAAGCTTTAAATCAAAATTTTAAGTACGACACTTTTGTCTGCACTCAGAGGTGGCGGAGCCTTCGTCTCGTGACTTGACACCGATAGCAACGGACGGATAAATGGTTGTAATAATCATAACGGTCAAATCATCATAACGGTCAAAAGCGTTGCAGGCACAGCATAGGGTGTTGCCTGCAACGCCTTAAGTTTCACCGCTGAAGAAGGACAGTGTGTATCAACTTGAAATGATTGCCGACAGGATGCAAACGGCAAGCCACTTGTGCGCTCTGCGGCTGTCCACTCCTGTGACGCTACGGAGCTCGAAGTTGCATCAGCGCGAGCGCGTTTGCCGGGATACCTTCAGGGTGGTGACGGTGTTCTCGACTCGTTCCTCAAACGACTTGAAGCTCGGCGAATTCCTGACAAACAAAAATTATCCAAAACCCCATCCCCCCACGGACCACGGAGAAAACGAAATATTAATACATTAGCATTCACGACACAGCATGACACATATCGCATATCTGCCGCATATTAACCGCCCGAAAAACCCAGAGCAGCATTTGTGCAGTCTTTACCTGCCTTTCCCCCCTCCCCGCCCTTCGAGGCATTCGCAAATCTGACCTTCTCACACGCAGTAATGCTTTCTTAATATCACGTACGTTTTCTTACTTCTAAAGCATCGTAAAGAATTCCCCCCTCGTTTAAAGCAGTCTGCGCTATCCCGCCAACCTATTTGTGCACACACGGTGTAACTGTCATTTCCTACAGGTGTTCACACATCTGACCGTTTCACTTGTGCGGCTATACCTCGGTCTCCAGCGAATCGGGAGAGGACGCGCGTGTGCGTGTGTGTGCGTGTGTGTGTGTGACGCTGCCCAACGATTTACACGTGCGCACAAAAAATACACGCTCGACAGCAAACAAGAGAGGCAGAGGATGTTACACAAATGGCACGACGATGCCATCGCTTGGAGCGTCACCATGAAGCCAAGACAAACGTGTGTGCGTGCGGAAATGCAATCGTGCGCCGTTGTTAGTTTTGTTATTTGAAATATGGCAGCAAGGCAGGCTTACCTCATGGCAGGCATGCTAATCGAGTGACGGATGGATGAGTAGCTGTATCCCCAGGAGCGCAGGAGAGAGGCACAGAGAGGCTCAGTGCAAAGAGGCAGGCTTATTAGCGGATCATCGATTAGAACGACAAAAGTCGTTTAAACAGAAGCACTTCATTTTCAGTGGCCCCTGTCGTTTTAACAGCACTTAATTCCCACTTGAACGGCCGACTTCACCACCATGTGTTGCACTGCAAATAGCTTTGTTAATAATTATCACCATTATCGCTCAATTCAAAATCGGGAAAATTATCCATTACACCAAGCAATTTCTGAGTAACTTTAGAGCACTCTAAGTCCCACCCGGAGCCACTTAAAATGAAACGTAGTCATTTACTCACATAAGCACCAATAACCACAATTATTGGGGGGGAAAAAAAGAGATGTTTAAATCATTCACCAGTGAGAGTGTTCTTGAGATGAGTGAGTCACGAAAAAATAATAAAGAACACCAGGAATCACAGGAATAAAACCCATATAGTGAGTTCAACTGAACTATCTGTCCTTAACGTAACTCATTACAGTTGCACTACAATATAATTCTTAAAAATGTACAGCCCCTTCGTCAGTCCACTACTAGATGAAGTCCATCCCCACGTCGTGTCGGTCACTCGAGCTGTTTAACCATACTTCACCACGCTGGCTGCTGCGGGTTGGCTAGGGGTGCGGTAACAAGGCGGGTTCACATGCCGCTCGACACTGACGTTGGCTTACGGTTCATTAATCGAGGCCAGCAAGGAACTCGAGCTCGGATCGCATGGCTCGTGGTCCAATGCGCAAACCACTGCCCACCGCTCAGCGCTCGGCCAACTTCTCCGCTCACATCGTTGTGCAAAGAAAGTGACGAATGTTTAAATCGCCCCCTTCCACTTCAAGCTCCGCGTGAGCGCAGCATCGGTCCCTTTCCCACCGCCGAGGCGGTAACGTTTGAATATTTAAAGCAGGTGCCTTGCCCCTAAACGAGAGCGTGATAATTCACCGAACCGCCACGACAAACGACCACCCGTCCCATAAGGAAAGAGTACAGTACCTAAAAGAATGTGATCTGCAGACAGCCCAGGCAGGACGGGTCACAGAGAGAGCGAGAGAGCAGGGTACAAAGAGTCACAGAGGGAACGTACAATAGCACAAACAATAGCGCACGAAAACCACACACCGCAGCCGAGAGGTTGTCCCGCCCGCCCTGACAGAGGGGGGGGGGGGCAGAGGTTTGTGAATAGGTTATGTGATTGCAGGAAAAATAGCGAAGCAGTAGGAGGTGTGACGATACGCCCCCCCCCCCCCAATGCGATTCAATAATGTTGGGGGTTTTTCAGCTTTCAGATGCGTTTTTCGGGATGTACCGAGCCTTATGAGACCTCCTTTGCCAGTAACAAGATGTAGAAATAGGTTTTACCCTTTTAACTGGCACAAAAACTGACACCTTAATTCAAGGCATCATGTTTGCAATAACCACAACACAAGCAGTCAAAATGCATCAGAGTTGTCTCTTTTGTTTGCATTTTGACTGCTTGTGTTGTGGTTATTGCAAACATGACGCCTTGAATAAAGGTGTCAGTTTTTGTGCCAGTTAAAAGGGTAAAACCTATTACTATACCAAGCGTTGTTCGGCACTTTGTCTGACGTTCCGTTCCAGGGGCTGAATTTCACCTGCCAGATGGAATTCAGCTCCTGAAAAAGCTCCCAGTACGTGCAAGCGAAGAGTCGGACATTTGTGCTACGACCCGAAAACCCATCGGAGAGTTATGCATGTATGAACTTCTTTGGCACCGTACGTAGCCTACCGTGCGAACACTTGCGCAGTAGGATTCTTAGCGGACCCTATTGCCTGAACGAGTCACGGGAAATCCCTCACATACCAAATATAAGAGTTGAACAAAATGGCTTCTTACACATGCCCTTCGCGCGTGCACTGCCAGCTTAAGCATCATTACCAATATATATTAACGCATGAATTGATGCATCATTAAACACCATCTGATATACGGCAAATAAAGACAACAATATGCTGCAATACCTAAGAATGGGTACATGCAGGTAAAGATAGGGGGCCAAGCCAAACCGGCATTTGATTTGGTTTCTCCCAAAGTACCTCATCTCATTAGTACTAGGGCGGCCGCGATTGTACAGTCAGTTGAACACGTAGGCTTTAGCGACCAATATTTTTCACAATGAAGGGTTTTTGGGTTAGAGCGTGTAAAGCGAAGCATATATTTACACGATCGTTCGTTTCTCAGTCCGCTTGCCCTGGTGAGGGCCGCGGCTTTTAATAAAATATTATTAACCAAATCAATCTTTATTATGGATTCTGAAAATCGATGTAAGGTATAAGATCCACGATGTTCGTCCAATTACGTCCCATCGTGATTATCGTGACTCCGTTTTATCCCTTCCAAATATTTCGCTTCCAGAAAAAAACATTTTACGAAATAACAAAACTCGGTAATTAAAAGTTGCAAAATAATGACCCGCAGTATTGCCTACACAACAACAACAAAAACTTACGTTCGTCAATTGTTAATTGTGCACCGCCGCCAATGCAGCATCACGAAATTATTTGTCTTATGTTACCCAATTAAATTCGTTATTTGACAAAAAGTTTTGAGATAATTGACAGGCATTGTATTAAATTTTATTATTTCTTCTTTTCTTATGGAACGAGGAGCACGTGCGTTATAAGCATCACAGGTTGTAAAGTCGCAATGATGAGTGTAGTCGTGGCAGGTTTATGTTAAGCGAACTGCAGTTGTTGGGAGACATTCGAAGCGATCTTTATTCGCACCAGAAGTACAGCAAAAGCACGAAACAATACGATAACAATGCAGGATTACAAAGTTATCTAAAACTAAGATCGTGAAAATCATCACATTACGAAATATGATATCGTATCGTGAAATATGATATCGCGGCAATGCTAATGTTTACAATGCAAACCGGCTGCGCCTGTAAAGCCCTCTTGGGAGGAACGGCTGCCGACGATATGCAACCCCATTTCCCGCTGTACTAAGCCATACTGGCACAAAGACGTGAGTGCAGTCCCTTGGCCTCACAGACCCAAGGTGGACGTGTGGGAGACGTGAAAGAGCTGAAAACACCACCGACGACGCACCAAGACACACCAACACAGCAAACGCAAAAATACACGCGCAGAAAAAAGGATTCTTCCGACGCTGCGCTGCCGCAAGGCAGCGGATCTGCATCACCGCAAACATAAACACAGAAAACCGCATTCACCACGCCGCAGTGCCATCTGCAGCGCGGAGATTCGCCTGCCCATGGGAATAGCATCCCCTCCTTGCGAGGGCACTATTGCTCATCGTGGCACGGAACGGCACGCACACACAGCGGGGGGGCGGTGGCAGCAGGGGGTGGCATGCAACGCCGAGGGGGGGGGCAAGTTCACAACGAGGGGGCGGGCGGAATTTTGGCGCCATTCTCACCTCGGCACGAGCAGACGCAGATACAAGTCGCTAAAACACGGCGACAGCCACAGGACAGAGGTTAGGGGGACCCCGTGCCACGGGGTGTCATAGCAGTGGCGTGGCAGTGGGCAGTGCAGGCATCGTCACCACCACGTACGACACGAAAGCTACAGCTGTCCTCCAACAGCCCTTGCAAATGGCGGGGCTAAGCAGAAGCAAAATCAAGCCAACGAGTAGGGCTCCAAGCAGCTCAAGAGGCCCCATAAAGAAACGAATTAACATAAAAAGCCAATTTAAATATCTCGTCTCGGTTTTGTCTGCTTCTCCCATCTCACTACACCTGAATTTGTAAACATTTCTCGGAACTCACTACATCTGAATTTTTCGTCTATATCTAATTATCTCACGAAGCTTTTATACATTTAACAGGTCCTCAAAAGTAGATTTCTACTGAGGGTTAGGGCTAACACCAGCACTGAAACCTCAGCCCCAATTTTTTTAGTTAACTCAAAACATATATAACGCCAGATAAATGAGCGAATTCTGCTAAGATTTCTGAAACCCTTGGGGTCCCTGCATAGTGCAAGGAGGCCACAGCCCTGGGAACACACTCACTTCATGTCTCCCAACTTGCGGGTGATGGCCGAGCCCACGTTGGACAGCACGGAGGTGGTCTTTTGACCGGCCACCGTCAGCGTCTCCTGGGTCTTCTTGTACCTGCCGGGACACGGTACCAGATAGCGTTGTTCACTTCAATCTTTTTTATTGTTGCATCATCGATGTTCGCACGCACAACACAATGAGTTTTGGAAATGGGTTATCGGTTTGCCACACTTATTAAACATTTTGCATTTATCATGTAGTGCGGCCGTTTGCATAAACCCTTTGAGTGGAATCTTCCCTTAACCTTGAAAATTCACGGCAGTGTCAATAAACTGCTGGATGAAGGTCTCCCCTCGTCGTGGAGAGGTTGCGTTTAAAGCGAATTACTGGATTGTGCAACGGTGGAATGCACTGTTCGTAAATCAGAAAGTCGAGGGCTCGAATCCCGATTGTGGGCCAACGCTCAACCCCCTTCAACCACTCCATGGTAAATAAACAATGAGTATTATATTGTACGGAAATCAACAGTGGCTGTGCAATGGTAAAACTCACCCAACCTCCCACCATGAACGTGTAATTTCTACCACTGGCTCAGAGTTGTAAGAAGGAAATTAGCACTGCCGAACACTCATTTCAGCAGGAAACAAGCAGTCAGTTGAAGTGGCACAAGGTGACAAACCAGAGATAGAAAAAACTCGGGTCGGCCCTGATTGTGTAATGCTATTCAATGTGCGCATATCCTTGTAAGTTGCGTACTTAGTGGTAATAATTTGCTATATTCCCAGCTGCACAACAACACAGGTGACGTCATGCAGCACTTGATCTCCTAAAATTTGTCTTACACGGTTGGATACGTACTGTGCGAAAAAAGTTCAACATACATAAAACCACATCCTAAAATTTGTCCTACATTGGATCATCTTTACGAGAGTTATCGTACGTATATTCCAATATGAAAAATCTAATTTCTTCATGTGCATTCGCGCAAACGGCCAAAGGCCTTCCCCGCTCCTGTTGGCGGTGCCGAGTGGACAAGGGCAGTGGGGGTTAGAGTGGCGAGTGTGGCCGCGGGGGGGGGGGGGGGCGGTACTAACGCGTTGGTGGCCTGCATGTCCTGCCACCCACGGCTTAGGTTGGTGCGCAGTTCGTTGAGAGGGCTCAGGCCCAGCTTGCGCTTGATCTCGGCCGCGTGCCGCTCCTTGGCCGTTAGCACCTGGCGCAGCGTGGAGATCTCCTCCTCCACCTGCACGCAAGCACGCACGTATGAACACACGCCCAACCGTGTCTCTATTCGGCACAATTCTCGATTATCCTGGGTAACAGCCGGGGGAAGGGGTGGCCCGGACAAAACAGAAACAAGGATAATGCACAAAAGTGAGTAAATTGAAACGTATTTATTGCTTACCTAGGTAGAAAGAGGGTGACGACGTGCTCCGCATTATGTTTTTTTGTTTCTTAAAGCAATTGGTTAACTTGCAGTCACATGGGCAATTGATCACCGAGGAGCAACTTATCATTGTTATCATGAAAATAATCAAACCAGCACAGGTGTAAAGATATCTCATTAAATGTATGACTTTTCGCAAGCACGTTGTTTATCCCCAATCCGGATCATCTGTCCATGAATAATTGAGCGAGCTGTATGTACCGCACATCTGTATATCTAAATCAGCTCAAGGCTCCGGTAATCACGTGACTTCTGTGCCGCCACCCCCACTCTCAATTCCTCACCATCTCCCCGCCGCCCCCAGTGCAGGCGCTGCCCCGTGCTGCAGTGCCAAAGAAAATTGTGTAGCCTCTTCCACCTTTCCCTCATCTAATCCCGAACCTTTTGGTCCCGTTTTTCTTTTCCATTTCCACTTACTTTCCTGTTATTTTCCCATCCTTTCTCGTTATCGTCTGCCTTTCCTGCTCCTTTATCCATGTCCAAACATTATATCCGTGAATGTCCTCTTTTTACCATGGTGTGCCACGGGTTAAAACGCTGCCAGTCAACACAAAACCCCAACTTCAAGTGCTTTTCATCCAAAACAAATACAAGACACGGCTACGGGGCTACGTTGAGGGCAGCAGAGACCAGTGCGACCTATTGTTGCACTGTACTTCCATGCTCTCACGTCTATACCACCTGCCCACCTTCGCCAACTCACACCATGGTCAAACAACTGCCCCCCCCCCCCATGACCAGCACAGTGTGAGGAGACCCTCATCCAGCAGTGGATTGACAAAAGGTTTTGCCTACATGTACTCTCCAGAAACACGGCATCTCGAGGACTGGTTAGACTGGTTTGGAATTTGTTTTGCATTTTTTTGTTTAAATCTGATCTTTCTGGCTTTTCCATCAATTCAAAGTGAGACCTGCGAGTGCACATTCATGAAAACATTACCAAGTTATTTTTTTTTACACACACACACTGCATGAGCTGTGCTGTTACGGAAATAAAACTGTCAGTCGAGTTACTCCGCTGGGACAGCCAGGGCGCCATGGTGGTGAGATCTTAACTACCTCACCTGGTATACAGTGAGGGAAAAAAGTATTTGATCCCCTGCTGATTTTGTACGTTTGCCCACTGACAAAGAAATTATCAGTTTATAATTTTAATGGTAGGTTTATTTGAACAGTGAGAGACAAAATAACAACAACAAAATCCAGAAAAACGCATGTCAAAAATGTTATAAATTGATTTGCATTTTAATGAGGGAAATAAGTATTTGACCCCTCTGCAAAACATGACTTGGTACTTGGTGGCAAAACCCTTGTTGGCAATCACAGAGGTCAGACGTTTCTTGTAGTTGGCCACCAGGTTTGCACACATCTCAGGAGGGATTTTGTCCCACTCCGCTTTGCAGATCTTCTCCAAGTCATTAAGGTTTCGAGGCTGTAGTTTGGCAACTCAAACCTTCAGCTCCCTCCACAGATATTCTATGGGATTAAGGTCTGGAGACTGGCTAGGCAAATCCAGGACCTTAATGTGCTTCTTCTTGAGCCACTCCTTTGTTGCCTTGGCCGTGTGTTTTGGGTCAGTCGTGTTGGAATACCCACCCACGACCCATTTTCAATGCCCTGGCTGAGGGAAGGAGGTTCTCACCCAAGATTTGACGGTACATGGCCCCGTCCATCGTCCCTTTGATGCGGTGAAGTTGTCCTGTCCCCTTAGCAGAAAAACACCGCCAAAGAATAATGTTTCCACCTCCATGTTTGACGGTGGGGATGGTGTTCTTGGGGTCATAGGCAGCATTCCTCCTACTCCAAACACGGCGAGTTGAGTTGATGCCAAAGAGCTCCATTTTGGTCTCATCTGATCACAACACTTTCACGCAGTTGTCCTCTGAATCATTCAGATGTTCATTGGCAAACTTCAGACGGGCATGCATATGTGCTTTCTTGAGCAGGGGGACCTTGCGGGCGCTGCAGGATTTCAGTCCTTCACGGCGTAGTGTGTTACCAATTGTATTCTTGGTGACTATGGTCCCAGCTGCCTTGAGATCATTGACAAGATCCTCCCGTGTAGCTCTGGGCTGATTCCTCAACGTTCTCATGATCATTGCAACTCCACGAGGTGAGATCTTGCATTGAGCCCCAGGCCGAGGGAGATTGACAGTTCATTTGTGTTTCTTCCATTTGCGAATAATCGCACTAACTGTTGTCACCTTCTCACCAAGTTGCTTGGCAATGGTCTTATAGCCCATTCCAGCCTTGTGTAGGTCTACAATCTTGTCCCTGACATCCTTGGAGAGCTCTTTGGTCTTGGCCATGGTGGAGAGTTTGGAATCTGATTGATTGATTGCTTCTGTGGACAGGTGTCTTTTATACAGGTAACAAGCTGAGATTAGGAGCACTCCCTTTAAGAGTGTGCTCCTAATCTCAGCTCGTTACCTGTATAAAAGACACCTGGGAGCCAGAAATCTTTCTGATTGAGAGGGGGTCAAATACAAAAATACAAAAATAAAAAGAGATCCCACCAACAGCCATGTACTGTCAAATCTTGGGTGAGAACCTCCTTCCCTCAGCCAGGGCATTGAAAATGGGTTGTGGATGGGTATTCCAGCATGACAATCACCCAAAACACACGGCCAAGGCAACAAAGGAGTGGCTCAAGAAGAAGCACATTAAGGTCCTGGAGTGGCCTAGCGAGTCTCCAGACCTTAATCCCATAGAAAATCTGTGGAGGGAGCTGAAGGTTCGAGTTGCAAAACGTCAGCCTCGAAACCTTAATGAATTGGAGAAGATCTGCAAAGATGAGTGGGACAAAATCCCTCCTGAGATGTGTGCAAACCTGGTGGCCAACTACAAGAAACGTCTGACCTCTGTGATTGCCAACAAGGGTTTTGCCACCAAGTACTAAGTCATGTTTTTCAGAGGGGTCAAATACTTATTTCCCTCATTAAAATGCAAATCAATTTATAACATTTTTGACATGCGTTTTTCTGGATTTTGTTGTTGTTATTCTGTCTCTCACTGTTCAAATATACCTACCATTAAAATTATAGACTGATCATTTCTTTGTCAGTGGACAAACGTACAAAATCAGCAGGGGATCAAATACTTTTTTCCACTCACTGTAAAGGTAGTCATAGGTTAAATTCCCGACCCTTATGCCTGCTGCTGTATATTTGGAGTTTGCATGTCTCTCTCCCCGTGGTCGCGTGGATTTTTCTCCGGGCCCTCCGGTTTTTTCCTCCAAATTTGGAAACACGGCGTTGAGAGTATTTGGCTGCAATAAATTTACACGTGATAAGTCACTTTGTTGAGCTATCATATGCGGTGGCCAGATCGCGTCTGAAAAAGAGCTATATAGCTGTGGGCTTTACCTGGTAAAACAAATACATAGTTATAGTTTCTGCGCAGTGTGGAGATGCAGCAAACGACGCGTCAGCATTGCTTTGGCCGCCGTTACAATTGTGACCTTCAGGGTTGCGGCTTAAAAAAAAATCCCCCATATTTATTGACATATTTAGGGGGTATTCCAAAAAAATGTGGGACATGGTATATCTGCCAATGTGATTTTGAGCGCCCCAAATCTCAAGTCACCCGGAATGCACCCAATCTCATTAGATCTTGGGACTCTAAGCAGGGTTTAGCCTGGATAGTGCATGGATGGGCAAACGCCAATGTTTGCACAAAATGGGTGCAGTAGGAGGCGTTGTGGAGAGTAGAGAGCAGTGCAGCAAAATATATTGTTGTTCTGCACTCCTCCTCCACCACATTACCCCATCTACACTGACCTGCACTGACTAGCGTGGTGAAATATGATCAAATATCCCTCGCAGACTGTAAGCCATGGGTGGGGGAACCTTCATCCAGCAGTGGATTGACAAACTGGCTGTACATGTCTCGGACACGCTGTGCATCCTGGTGCGGGATTGGACACGTGAAAGAAGGTGTGTATGGGCTCCGAGCGATCGGCTGCCCGTACCGCCCCCCCCCCCCCGCTTCAGCCCCCCTAGGGTCGGACGTACCTTGGCCAGTTCCGCCTCCAGCTCTTCCCGCTCCGCACTGCTCACGCTACAAGCGCCGTCCTGCGCGGGCACAGGGTCCACCGCCACCTCCTGCATCGTGTCCGGGTCCAGCAGACCTTCGCACAAAAGACAAAAATGTTCCTCCTTGTTTAGCCTGCGATAACCTCTTTTCCCACTGCACACCCGTGCCGTGCCGAGGGCGTGTCAGAACCAGCCCGGCATGGCTCAGGTTTGTTTTTCCACCGCAGAAGCAGAGCGGACAGGCCTTAATAGGCTCTTGGTAACCTACGAAAAAACACCTGGACAGGTTCAAGTATCACTCGCGCGCGGATGTTAGCCGGGGCCGGTAACCGAACACAGGTGGCCGGGTTCGTAGCACAGTATGCAGCACCGCTCCATGTCACAGGAGGCACTCGCATACAGGCACACAGGTGCCAACCATCAAGATGATACTTGGAAAATGACTGCCCGCTTTCTAAGTTTCTTTTCGCGCAAAACCTTCCTCGCATGAGACAGACTTGGCTTTATGGGCTAGAATGAGCTATGGACAAACCCTACATAGACAATTCATGGAGTGAAGTTGATTCACGCAGGTGGAGAGCTTAAATGCTGTGGAGCGCTCTCCAACACACCAGTATGCCGAAGCAGGAATATAGTGGCATCATTGTTCGCGTGACAACTTCATTAAATTACTGTGTTCAGTGGAGAAGGGTGTACAACACACATTTTACTCACACGATTTGAGCAAAAAATATATATTATGAATCATATGGGTCGCGAAAGCCTTCGTGTTGAATATAAGTGATATCAAATTATATGAATTCATGCATGTACACCCCTATCACTAACAATGACTATAGCGTTAACCATGTGTGATGTGCAATGCATTACGAAGAAACAACAATACAACAAATTTTGATTTAAAGCTTTCGTGACTGCAGTAATTCATATTCTTAGCTCTTTCGGTAAAGTCACGTTGAAGGGAAACAATAAAATAATAAAACAATAATTTTTATTGTTTCATATATATTTTATTATTTTATTGTTTCCCTTCAACGTGACTTTACCGAAAGAGCTGAGAATAACAACGCAACAGAGAGATTAACGATATTTTATGTTTGCTTATTACTCCATCAGAAATTAATTATCCCCTGCAAACGATGTGCGGTGTGATGTCAGGTCGGTAATTACTAATTAGGCATCTGCACTGGGAAAGCTCTCTTCGCAACTCACCTCATTAAGCCCGAGCGGTGACGTGGCGCTCGCGGCAACACATTCACCACTTATTGCAGAGGTCCACAGTTCGATTACAGCTACCGCCCCGACTAATTACCGCGTTTGCATTAATAATAATGCGCGCTGCCTGCTTCAACAGTGGACGTTAAATGTTCCCCGACGCCATTCGCAAGAGCAGAACCGTTGTGCCCCGGACGTAATCAAACTAGAAAATGACACCGCACATTACTCAATTGGGATTATACACACAGCAGGAATCATCCTCCCCTACTGGCAGTATACACCCCAGGTTACTCTTGCAAAGAAGACTCATCCTAATCTCTTGAATTTTCATCTGGTTAAGCAGAATAAACTGAACTTAAAGCTCTGCTCTGTTATCGCAAATGATACTGAACTTGCCTTTTCCCAACCCTGCACACAATCAGGCCATCACTCACTCTCACCAGTGAGTTCGTACGGAGGAATAGCACTCTACTACAGTACGACATTACGTTTTCACATCAACACAAGGGCTTCTGGAGACGCGGACTCAATCTCAGCGAAGTTTCTGGGTAAATGGGTAACAGTGGACACTGCTGTTCGCAAAACGTTCCAATGTGCGATGCCGTTCACAACATCCGCTCTGCAGAGTGTCCTCAATCCTGCCGTTTGTGCGTGCGTAGGCCATCCGCAGCGTCCGCACGACGTTCCCACCGCGCTCCACGACCACCATCCACCGTCGCTGGGAGGGTGCGAAACCAGGAGGAGGCTCGCCAGTATTTTGACCGGTGGCGTACGTGCGTGGGGCCATGGAAACTGGAAAAGTACACCTCTGACTTGATCAGGCAGGCATGTGGACAATGTGTGCCGAGGCGTAATAAAATTATACGTACACAGCTGTAAAGGGGTCTGGGCTCGACATGTAAACACAAGGCAACAATAATATCCCCGGATTACCAACGTTTTCTGGCAACATTTATGCACGAAGGTAAACTATGGATCAGTTATGACTTGTTGAGTGTTGACCAGTAGTTGGGCCACTTAAACGTGCTCCTGGGTTGTCTAATGTTATAGGTAAGAGCTCTCCACTTGCATAGTGAAACCAGTTGACTGCAAGGTATTTAAATTCTAGCAAAACTCATTGTGTCAAGGTAGAGAATTATGGCCAATAGATTAATTCATCATGATCGACTATGAACAATCCACTGCTGGATGAGGCCCTCAAGCTGTCACCATCTATAGTGATCCTGCGTTGTAACAATCTACCACGCAACTGACTCCATTGCTCTATCTCCATGGCGGACGTCATCCTAGAATCCTTCCCTCCCTCGGCTCTCATTCCGTCATTATTCTCGACCATAGCCCATCGTCCCTTTTAGCGGCATGTTCTGCCGAAGCCCGCTAACGCTTCTTAACCATTACAATAAATGTTAACTGCCAGCGATTTTGCTGCTCAAATATATTTCTGAAAAGCACTTGTCGAAATAAGACCCATAGACTAATGATGGACGTAAACATTTTTTACACGGAGAGACAGACTCTGTTGCTTGGTAATTAGTTAACTGTCTGCAATTATCCACGCAGTGTCATGTGGCCGCTTTCAGTGTCCACACTGCACGCCCTGTATACCAATTAATATTGGGAGCCAGGACACCATGGATACGCTCCCGTCAACCAGCCCCACTTAACAGCAGAACGGTTCAAAGACAGAGGCGATGAGCCTGGTGGAACAAGGATGCAGATGTGCTTGCGTAAAGCCACTCAGAAATGTTCCTCGCGACGATCAATAACCCAGTGAAAAAGCGACCCGCTTAAAAGGGTGTCATGCGGTAATGATTGTTGAAATGTATCCTAACTTTTTTGGAATTGGTTGTTCATAATTAGGGAGGAGATCCGGTGGCCCAGTGGTTAGTGGGGTGCACGATGAACCCCGACAACCCCAGTTTGGTTCGCGGCCATGACAACTAATATCGGCAGTAAGTGGATATCAAAACTGTGCATAGGCCTCCCTGAAGCAACACGTACTGACCAGCGTGGTGAAGCACGATTTTTAAAAAAACACTTTCACGACCAACACAGTGAGGTCTCTTTTTCTAGCAATCGATTGACAAGGTGGTCTACATGTATTATCTTTATTATGCATTTACAATAGCTGCTGTGCTGTCGGTGTGCTGGCCAGGTGTAATATTCAGCAAACTGTATTTTAAAAGCAGAGATCGCCTGTTTAATCTCCTGGGTACACACCACAGCAAGTCAAGCTGCAGGTTGTGTGTCCAGTGTAGAAGAGTAGGCAAAAACACCCTCTAGCATGTAGCTATCAAGATCTCCCAACTAGGAAGCTTTTCAACCAGCAGTGGCATGAAAAAGCAATTTCAGGACTGCACCTTTATCGTTACCTGTTCTTTCATTTCAAATGTGGGTTTGATGACCGTGAAATGCTCACCCCAGAAAATAACTCATTTATTTGCAGGAAGGCTTAACTAATCCCTCCAACAATAACTACGCCTGTCCATCAGAATTTCGCACCTCATACAAAGTGACCGGCGGACGTGAGTGCCATTCACAATGAGTCGCCAAGTCAGCGCATCGCAGTATTCCTCACCATCCTTCCTTCAGGCAGAGGCAACAATACTGGACAGGGCACATTCCTCCCAGTAACAGCAACACCGCTGCCACATTCATGTCAAACCTGTGCACATGGCATACCTGTCAACCTCTTATCAGTGCCCTACCTTATTACAGACCAATTCAGACATTATTTGGTCACCCCGTGCCCTTGTACATCTCAGCGTTCATTCTAAAAAGTCCCATCGCAAAGCAGAAACTCAAAGACATTTTTTTGTGCGTACTGAAATGGCTGTATGCCGTACGGAACTGAAAACTCTATTTCCCTGTACAAGAATATGGGTAAACCGTATGGGTTGACAGGTATGACAAGGGGGGGGGGGGGGGCAAAACAAATGAGCTACCACTTCCCCTCTCTCATTTCTCAAAGAGGTCCCTCTTCCTGTTTTGATAAAAAAAAAAATCTTAAATCCGCCAGGCCAAAAGCTCCGTCGCTTCGCTATTGTTTGTGCTGGAAAATAAAATAACAAACAACGCTTAGCTGACCGGCTCCACGCACTCTCGTACGAGTTTGTATGTTTACAGATTTGTTTTAGTTTTATGCCAGCCAATACCCGAGGGAAGGTTTCAAATGGTTTGCGCTGGCCAGCGACAGCACGCGAGCGCAGCGAATCCACCCCCGCTGCCCTGACACGACGGGCTTGAATAATTCATAAAGCACACGCACACTGTCCGAGTTATTTTGGAAATGGAGATTAAGCCACATATGCGAGGATCTCCGAACAATAACAAGACGACGGCCATTCGTCACAAAAGGTGGAATATGCTCATCACAACGCACTGCACTCCGCTCCAACCGGATATGACTTACGCCCAGTGGCGTAGCGAGTGAGCGTGCAGGAGGTGCAAACTGAACCGTCGTGGCTAAGCCGACTGGAGGGACCCAGGCACTGGGATACAAAGGAGAGGGGCAGGGGGAACTGGTCATGGGTGGGGGGGGGGGGGGCATTTAATTCCATGCACCACGGCCTGCGATTGGGAGCGCCCAGTTGGCTGACCTCGTCACGGTTGAATTCGCCCGAGTGAGACAGACACACATGGGCATCTCTGCTCACAGGAGGTACAGGACTGCTGCTGCTGCGAGTGAGAGCGGCTGGGGTGGGAGGGGAGACGCTTGGACTCTTTGGCAGGTCACTCGCAGTACCGGGGACCCCGTGCCAACCACGCTTTCAGCCATCCGATGTCCGCACCCCCCCGATTACTAATTCACGTGTTTGCTCACGGTGAACTCTTATACCCCTGGCAACAATGAACAATCGCTGCCGTCTCGGTACCCGCACTGTACAGGAGCAGCAGCACGAGTAAACCCACAGCGGTGCCCAGCGAGCATCACCGGCTCCGAGTGTTTATTCTCGTCTCGGTCGTACGGGCGCGTGTCTCCCCACTCGCAGCTGCTCACCACAGCGACATGGCTCCAAGCCCAGGCAGACCTCCACCCCCTAGGGAGCCAATGTCGGCCGGGCGAGAGAGAGGGGGGGCCCTTCTAACACCCACTGTGGTGAACACCGCGTTACCAGCAGTGTTGATCAGCACGGTCTGACACTCGCCACCAGCTAACAGAAGTAACACACACAAATAAGCAGACGATACGCCACTTTCACGTGTCTGTCCCTCCACATGGCAAATAAAATGTTTTTTTTACACATCCCTTCGGCCACACGGTCTTCCAGAAGTGCATAAATGCAACAGCATTGGTTCAACACAAGCACTGATTCAAGCAAGCGACCCTTCTCTGCTAGATATGGATCCGAGTTCGAAGAAAAACGATCGAATACATGTGTGGAGGGACCGATGGTGATGGGAGGCATCGTCTAGAGCCAATTCATTGGGGCCACCTAAAGCACCCCGCGTCCCCGTGTTATCATATTAAGGACTCCGTCAGCGTCACTCCAAATAATAATCCACTTCAGCCATGATAGATCCACTGCTGGATGATGGCTTCACCAAGCCACCGCCACCTGACGATCCTGCGATGTAATAACCCACCGAGCACTGGCACACGAGCAGACTCGATTTCTCCATCTGCGTTCCATTCCTTGGCTCCCGCTCATGATAAAATACACGCGATTAAAAAAAACACTTGACAAGCTAAAGCGCTCCACCCCAAAAACGTTATCAGATTATGTGGCTGCATCAGTTGAAGTTGTCCACCAGATGGACTTCTCCACCCCCGAGTGTGTATCTTCGGCTAAAGCGCTTCAACATGATGGCATTGAGGCCCAGGCCAAGTAGCCAGCGTCCCAGCTCTGGTAGATTTGACAGCAGCCCGAGACATTGCCAGCATCTGCCCGGCAGCCGTGCTCGCGAAAGTCAGTGCGAAAGCAAGCGTTGCTGGTAAAAGTGTGCATAGTCGGAGATGGGATATCCAATTGTTTAAGTTATCTTATTCGACTGATAGGACAACTCATATCTGCGTGTCGAGAAGAAGCCCCATCGCAACGCAACAATTCGCTGAAGCTGGAAAACGACAAGATCGGATAACCGCACGAAAATAATTTGGGAATAAAGTAGCACCTCTGTTCCCACATGCGGCTGCTGGACGGGAAGTGATGCTTGGTGTCAACATCGGCTTCATCAGCCGGTGGGTCTCGCTTTCAGAAAACAGGATGTTGGGGAAGCTGCCATTGTTAAAGGGGCTCAATTAAACCCGGCACGGCTCGGGAGACGCCAGGTTGTTGTTCGATTGCAGAAGCAGAGCCGTACCCCGTTCAAGACACTGATTGGCCCCAGATTAATGTCTTGCGAGGCCAAGAGTATCACGGTTTAGTTCTGGCACCGTACTGGCTCGGCTCGATTGTGCCAGTGGAAAAAGGGGGGGGGGGTGGGTGTAACAATTTCTAGCCAATTTACTCAATCGACGAACCAGAAAATATATTGATATACTGGAGGGATCCGATGAGCTAGAAAGCAATTGTTTTCCCCACATGTCCAGTAGGAGCGGGTCACAACAACAACAAAAATCGCCCCAGGTCATATCACATCGCTCCTCGCAGTCGCCACGGATACGCGATTGATGTTGGACACTCATTAACGGGGGGCCGTGGGGACGAGGGCGAGACGGCTCGGGGAGAGGGCTCGGGGAGAGGGGGAGAGGGCAGGGGGAGGAGGGCGAGAGGGCTCAGGGAGGAGGGCGAGAGGCCGAGAGGGCGAGAGGGCTCGGGGAGAGGGGGAGAGAGGGAGAGGGCTCGGGGAGAGGGGGAGAGAGGGAGAGGGCTCGGGGAGGAGGGCGAGAGGCCGAGAGGGCTCGGGGAGAGGGCAGGGGGAGGAGGGCGAGAGGGCTCGGGGAGAGGGCTCGGGGAGAGGGCGAGAGGGCTCGGGGAGAGGGCGAGAGGGCTCGGGGAGAGGGGGAGAGAGGGAGAGGGCTCGGGGAGAGGGCGAGAGGGGGAGAGGGCTCGGGGGCGAGAGCTCAAGCGAGTCACAGGGGACAGAGCCGCGCAGGGAGGGGGGGGGGGTGGAATAATTACGACGGGAGATCGGGGAGCAGAAGGGGGTGAAATGTTAGGGGGGAGGCAACAGGGGGAAGGGGAGCGTGGGGATCGTGGAGAGGGGGGGGGGGGGGCAGAAGAAGCAGGTGAGACAAGGGGGAGAGGAATTGGAACATCCAAGAGACTAGCGAGGGCAATGGAGGAGAATCTGGGGATGTTAAAGTGTAACCGGAGCATGGGGGAACAGGCGAGTCCGGGGGCAGCGTCGAGAGCTGGAAGAACAGGACGGACAGGAGCAGCGGGGGGCAGGAGGGGCAGCGGGGGGCAGGAGGAGCAGCGGGGGGCAGGAGGAGCAGCGGGGGGCAGGAGGAGCAGCGGGGGGCAGGAGGAGCAGCGGGGGGCAGGAGGAGCAGCGGGGGGCAGGAGGAGCAGCGGGGGGCAGGAGGAGCAGCGGGGGGCAGGAGGAGCAGCGGGGGGCAGGAGGAGCAGCGGGGGGCAGGAGGAGCAGCGGGGGGCAGGAGGAGCAGCGGGGGGCAGGAGGAGCAGCGGGGGGCAGGAGGAGCAGCGGGGGGCAGGAGGAGCAGCGGGGGGCAGGAGGAGCAGCGGGGGGCAGGAGGAGCAGCGGGGGGCAGGAGGAGCAGCGGGGGGCAGGAGGAGCAGCGGGGGGCAGGAGGAACAATGGGGGGCGGAGGGAACGAGGGGGAGCGGGAGGAACTGGAAGAGCGCATGGATCGGGGGGGGGGGGGCAGGAACAGGGGGATCAGGAGCAGGGGAAGAAGCAGCGGAAGCAGGTGGATCAGGGAGAACAGGAATCACAGGGGGATTTGGGGGAACAAGAGAGCAGAAGAATCAGGGGGATCATGAGCAAGGGGATTAGCGGGAGCAGTGGAAGCGGGGCAGCCGGTGGAGCAGGGAGTGAGGGGGGTAGCAAGGGAACAGGCAGGAGCGGGAGAAGTGCAGTGGGATGATGCGAGAGGGGGGACCAGGGGCGCTGGGAGCTATCGGGACCCCCGGGGTCGTCTCGCCGGCTGTACCTTGCTGTACGGCTTCCATGTCGGTGGGAGCCGCCGAAGTTGGGTTGGTCGATCCCGCCTCACTGCCCGTCTCGTGCCGTCGCCGTCGTCGCCGTCCCCTTTCCTGTCTCGTCTCTCCTCCTCTTCGTCTCCTCCTCTTTCGTCTCTTACCCCCCCCCACCAACCACCGTGCCCCGGTGACGTCACCGCACGCCACGAGAACAACAGAAACCCCCCCACCCCGGCGTGACGTCACGCCTGCGGGACATGACGTTGCTCGTGCCGGCTGTCAAACTCTCCCTTTGACGCAACTTGAGTGGCAAGTTACGATAACTCCGAGGTTAACGGTTTGTTTTGGTGGGGGGGGGTTGTTAAACAAGAGATACATTGATGGGGAAAGTGAAACTCTATAGCGGGTGTGTAGTTCCTTGAACGTTATCAGTCGCCAACGAGACGATTGCCACGTTCACGATGTCGCGCGATTAGACGTCGATCGTCGACTCGAAACGCTGGGCTTTAAACGGTAAGGTAAAACTCGAGAGTTTAGTTTTATTTGCGTCGTTTATTTCTCCTTTCCTATACTTTACACTCCTGTCGTGTTCATGTATTTTTGTTGTTGTAACGTTGCTGACCCGCCCCTACTGGACATCTGTGAAAAAGTGCTTTGTAGCTCATCGGATTCCTCTAATATAGATGTACTCTTGATTTAAAAAAAACACAATCTAGTGACGTCATCGAATTCGCGCCAAATCCTTCTGTTGCGTGATGACGCCATCGCAAAACCGGCGAGGTTGTACAAACACGTCACAGCGCGGTTGTACAATGACGTCACTGCGCGGTCGCTCGATGACGACACTGCGCGATGACGGAAGCTTGTTAACGGTTTGGGGCTGCTCGGCCAATCACGACGCGAGGTTATCGCGGTGACGTCACGCGGCATTGGCGGAAACCTGCAGGGGGCCGCACGTGAGCCACGGAGCGAGGTGTGTTGGTGTTTGTTGTTATTGTTGTTGTTATTGTTGTTGTTTATTGTTATTGTTGTTTGTTTATTGTTAGCCAGGTGTTTAGTCGTTTCACTGAATGTGTTAACGGGTCGCTGGTAGACCCGGAGCAAGGCGGCGACGAGTTAGTAAGCCACGGCCATCAACAGCGAGAGATGTGTCACTTGATGTGGTGTGCCGGGTGCCTTCAAGTGTTTATTGCTAAGCGAGTTTCGCAGCTGCTTGGCGGAAATAACCCACACGCGGCGCTTGCAGCTCGTGCGTGCTTGTACAGCGTGGTTGTGGTTTGTGCGTGTTTATATTTCACTGAACAACTCGGTCGGCGTGGCTTTTTGTTGAACCAGGCTAGGTTCCGCCCCCAGGCACGAGCCACCTTTTGCTGCATATTCAGCCGCGATGAGAGTGGGTTTTGGATCAACTCCTCCGTGTCCACACCGAGCTGCGCACAACACGCGTGTTTGTACGAGGAACCAGGGGATAATGCACGCACGAGTGGAGTTTCCCGATACAGTATATTGATTTTATCAACAAAACCCCCGTTATTTCCGTAAAGCCCTTTTTTGTATGGAGACGCAGCTGGCTGGTAAAAAAAAATATTCGACGTTGCTTTGCACTTCTCTCAGTTGTTGAGTTTCATGAATGCGATTTGCTGTTTGATGTAAAAAAAAAGTCTCCCTTGAAAAAAAATCCACTCTACATGGGACACAGTTGATCTGCCCACGTTAATTTCTTGCTCGCCTCAGACAGTCATCATTTCAACTCGTAACGCGCTGCCGCTCTCGAATAGGGAGAGAGACAGTGAACGACTCTGAAGCGCTCGAAAGAATCCCAGACAAGCGTGAAGAAGGAGGGCAGCCACGCAATGAGCCGGTGCCAATTTCTCCCCAAGCTCTGCGGTCCTCTATGCTGTACTACTAAGGTGTTATCAAACAATGTATTTGTACGTGCGAGGAAACCGGAGCACCCGGAGAAAACCCAAGCGTGACGCTAAGTTCTGTACCCTCTTGTCTCGCTATTACACCAGAGATCTTGAGTTCCCATTCATGTATCTCGAGTTTGGAGCAGTGACATGACTGAGTGGTCGCAGAGGTGCACAGTTCGAGCACCACAGCTGCCCTGGTTAATCCTGCGTATGTATTAACTGTAAATACTGCTTCACAGCGGACGTTAGAGATTCCATGACATTTGAAAATGAGTAGGCCACGTGAGCTGGTGCCATGGTCAAAATGTGCCAAATTCCCTGCAAATATTCATCTGGAGAACACATTGAAGAACTGCTGCAGACTGCCTGTGAAACACAAGTGCCTTCGTGATAGCCTTGCACGATAGGAATGGCACGAGTAACGCACCTGCGAATAATTTCACTTGGCCTTCGTGTGCAACCGAACTCCACGCCTCCCCATTACAGCGAGTATATCGACAATCGCTTCCGTGTAACGCTGAACTCCATATATGCCTCCTCGTCATAACCAGGGTTCCCGCGGTCACTACTCTAGACCACGTCTGGCAGTGCTCCGTGAGGCGCCATGGAGCTGCCGTTGCACTGTTCGCGGCTGCTGCGCGACCTCAACGCACAGCGCGAGAGCGGCCTCTTCTGCGACTGCCAGGTGCTGGTGAAGGGCCAGCGCTTCTCCGCGCACAGGTGAAACAGCAGTGCCAGTGACCAAACGAGAATTAACGAGTTACGATCGGCAAGGCGATCGTGGTCGAATAACTTTGGGTGACCGACATGGCGTGTGGGGAGGTCCCTCATCCAGCGATGGGTTGATCAAGGGGTTCTGCATAGTGTATACAATGCCGGTAGCGCCTGTTCGCACACAGGAGGGCAGCGCAAAAATGCAGAAGGAGGTATGGATAAAGTGCAGGTAATAGAGCGGGTAAAAGAAACAGGAATGGATTTAGAGAACGTATCTTATGTTACAGACATCGTATTGGCTGTCAAGTAATATAAGTGACCGTGAGAGAGAGATCATCACAAGACTGAGAGATCGTGACAGCTTGGCAGTGATTCCTTGCAGCAGTGAATTGTTCACGGCTGTGGGTTATGATGAATAATGAAGAATTGGAAGGTGAATAAGAGGAGTTTCATTGCAAATGTGTAAGCTCACAGGACAAGCAACCCTAGTATGTGTGTGCGCAAAATGAATTAAATCTTCATGACCAAGGAGAGGGGGAAACCCGTTGCTCAGCATTACAAATGTGTGTCTCTGCAACTGCGCGCAGGAATGTGCTCTCTGCCTGCAGCGTGCATTTCCGCACGCTCTTCCTCTCGAGGTTTCCTGGGCCGTTGGCCAAGCCATGGGACGACACGGGCGTCGTCACCGCGACACTTGACAACCTGGCGCCCTCCACCTTTGCTGTCATCCTCGATTTCATGTACACCGCACGGCTCGCTCTTACCGGCCTCAACTCGGAGGACGTAATGTCGGCTGCCGGCTTCCTCCAGATGTCGGAGCTCGTCTTCGCCTGCAAGGGCTTCATCGGCGGCGGCCTGTTTGTTGGCTCACCGTCGGTGGCGGCTACCGACGCCAGCGATAACGTCGCAAATGCCCCGCAGCCGTCGTCGCGCAAAAAGATAGCGTGGAAGGGTGACGGACAGCTCGGGTTTCTGAAACACATCAGCCTCAAACGAGCTTTTCCCTCAGAGACTTCGGCTCGACGAGGAAACCAAGGCACTGCCTTTGGGGGCAAGCGAGACTGTGAGACGCCGAACAGCAATGGCTCAGTTCCATTGCATATGGCCACGCACGCCAGCCACCTTAACATGATAGTCGTCGACGTAAAAAAGGAGCAGGTCTCTCTGGAAGAGCCACAGCTCCCAGTGGAGACCACCAACGGAGAGGCATGGTCCAGCACCCCCCGTTCCCAACCCGAGAGCCGCGGCAGGACCCAGAGAATCCTGGGCACGAGGAGACGGGACCCGCGCCCCCAAGCCTCTGCTCAACCCGACAGAACAGGCCGGCGCATGAGCCACAGGGACGAGGGCAATGCCTGCATCCCTGATGATGCTGGATTTATAATCATGACAGTTCCTCCGGACGGCATCAAGCAGGAGCCAGAGGATTGCTCACCTTCAAATGTTGCAACGTTTGAGGTACGGCTTGCAGCTTGTACATCTACACGTACGTGGAGATACATTTTACCATTGGCTTAGGACGGCCAATTGGAGATTCGTGCCACCCCATTGCACGTTTCAGCAGCGCCACACTGACGGGTTTATTTGTGTGACAGCGTAACTCGTGGAGTGTTTGTGTTAAAGCAACGTGTTGCTGGAGTCCTATACACCCTTGGATCTAACTTTGACATGGGTGAAAATTCCATGAAGATCAGATAAAAAAATCTGGAAATCAAATTCCAATCCATTCAAACCACTCCTTGTCTGTATAGTGTACATCTAAAGCTATTTGCCTATCCACTGCTGTATGAGGACCTCCCCATGCCATACGAGGGGTTATTTGATCAGCCACATTTTTTACATTTTACCCATACATTATTCAACTGGAATCTACATAGCAATCATCACCCCTCACTGCAAATACTTGACAGGACCCTCCTGAAAAAGAGTAATGAGAGTAATAAATAATAATAAGTAAAACACTCCGCGCTGGTTGGCAAAGGTGGGCAGCATTGATATGGGAGCATAAAAGTACAGTACAACTATGGACTTTGTTGATGCACTGCGTTCTGCTGCCATCCCATGCAGTCAGAGCTTGCAGCAGCGTGTATTAAATCTCGTGGATACCCATTTTGGTACTCAGTCCAGATTGTCAACATTTTAATGTTATGTTTGGTATGAATAAACCAATTTGATTTCCATTGGCAGGGTGACAAGTGGGAGAGCATGGACAGCTCGATGAAGCAGCTCTCTCCAGGTAGGTGAATTATTTTACTGAGCAAATTTTTTTTTTCAAAGCGTGTCGCTCATGAATACTTCACTGAGCTGTCGGAAGATTTAAAGTCGTGAGCATGTTTTCCTGGTACAGTACAACCACGTGAGTCTTCTCATAATCCACTGATGGTCTCGTTGATAAAGACGAGACGGTCACAGCTTCCCAGGCTGGGAAGACATGTACAGAACGACTTACACCGTAGCAAATGTCATCAGTTTGGTTTAAGATAAGATTCGTCGTACTTACCAGTGAATGTGAGAATTACGACATTGGGTGTCGTAAAATTGAGAGATTTTACGAGTAATCAGGACCACTTGGAATTGGATTGTTACTGTTGATAAAATTACATAATGACAAATAATTGGTAACATTAATAGCATTCTCTCATGATCGGTCGACCATCCTGTTTTCAAACCATTCCAACAAATTCAAAACGCCGCTGCCTGTATAATCTTTAATCTTCCCTTCCAATCTCACACATCGCCCCTCCTCATTGAGCTATGCTGGCTCCCTGTTTATTATCGTTACCTCTTTAGTTTATAAATCTCTCCAAAGCCTGACTCCTCCGTACCTCTCTTCTCCCATCTCACTTTACTTTCCTGCCCGCTCTCTGTCTTCTAAATCTTTGCTGTCTCTGTTCCTCGTCCTCCGTGCGTAGTCTCGGTTTCACTCATTCTCTCTCCGAGGCCCTCTTCACTGGAATAAATTGTCTTTACCCCGCAAAAAAACACCCACTCTCACTACCTTCCGCTCCTCTCTTAAGAGACCCACTTATTCCCTCTTGCCCATCCTTCTCACCCTGTTGTCCTCCCCACTCGTACTAACGTCTTCCCTGTCCCCAACTCCCCATGGTCACCCAACATCAATCCACACATTTAATTTCTATTTTCGTTTATTCCAGGTATTGTCACCACCACCTAATTTTACATATCCCATCCACTCATCTCGTTTCATCTCGCCAACCATCTTATACCATAGTTAGTTCACTGTATAGCGCCTTGGTTATATATGATAAGATAAGACAAACATATTCTAGATTTGAAGCTTTCGTGACTGCAAGGATCCATAATCTTTGGTTCTATTCGGTAAAGTCACGTAGGTAAAACATACCTCAGCCAGAGCGATGGTGTCATGGCGGCTATGTTGCATTCAAGGTTGGTTGTCTTCCTGGCAAGCGATTGGTTCCTGTAATGGGAGTTATAATGCCTTCACGACAGAGCTGCGATCTCTCTACGACTCCCATATTTACTTTGTCTTGCAATCCATTCTCTCTTACGACATTTAGGACCGTGCCACAACCATAGCCTACCGGGCTTACGAGGACGAAAGTTTCGCGCCGGCAATTCGGCACGAGAGGCCCACGTCTCCCTTGGCCCCCAGGACTTGGCAGGGAACCTGCAGTCGGAAGAGAACGCCCTTTTTACCAAGTGCAGCGGCAAAGATTTGTGGGACGCCGGGGAGCAGGGTGAACGTTCGACGGCCGGAGGATATCCTGGCTGCCGACCAAGGGACGGCTCCGCCTGGGAGCAGCAGGCCGACCTCGCCGCTGCCGGCGAGAAGTGGGACGGCGGGATGGCGCTCTTCCCGTGCAAGCACTGCCCGGTGCGCTTCACTGCGAAGGAGAACCTGGTGCGGCACCAGCGCACGGTGCACGCCGGGCAGAAGCTCAAATTCTGCGAGGCGTGCCAGCGCAACTTCCGCGACAGCACTGACCTGCAGCGCCACCGCCTCTCCAAGCACTGGTGGCAGGGCCGCGACGGCACGTGCCCATTCTGCCCCGAACGCTTCCGAGTGTCGAGAGAGCTGCTCAAGCACATCCAGCACCGTCACAGAGGCCTTGCTGCGTTCTGACTCGGCAAAGCTGCCACCATCCCCTCCCCGCCCAATAACACTGTCCTAACGAGGAAGAAATGTTTTATACATGACATTTCGGGGCAATGACCTACCATATTTTTCTACTATGAAGAGCAGGATTAGTGACGATTTGTGTTGAGGATTTGTTTTTTAATATGTAGATTAGTTTTTAGTTTCAGCTCATTGTTAATCCACTGTTGGATGAGAGCCTCCTGACACCGTGTCTACCATAGCGGGGTTGTATGACCATAAATCAGCAAGTTGATTAGTGTAGGTTGATAGAGGACCGGTTCAGATATCGCTTGCCACTGGTGTTAGCCGTTGCCTGGTATCGAACTCGTTTTGCCGAATTCACTGCGCAGCACGTTAACCACCACTGCACTCAACATGTAGATGGTAGAATATAAATATGAAACGGTAAGGTATTATTTGCATGTTTTAGTTTCACACGAGCCTGTAGTGTAGTTGATTATTTGACAAGAAATAAATATGCATACGCACGGATTCAATCGTCGCGCTTGACACGTGATTCCATTGCCTTAACTGGCGAGGTGAATCCTGTCGGTGCTGCCTTTGTTATCAGCAAGCTACGGGCAACACTGAGGTACATTTAGCAGTCTTTCTCTTGGGTGAGTTCCTAATAGAAATACAAATTTCTACAAATATTCTGTTCATATTAGATCCGCCCGTATTGCCACCCTTCCTCCCCTGTCACCAACGGGCGTAGCTCATGCGGGCAATGCTTTTAACACCTGGTTGAAAAGCGCTGCAACTGGATAAATGATACATTATATCAATGTAGAAGGAAGCCAATCAGCGTCCAAGGGTGGCCTAATATGGGCTTTTTTGATCCACAAATCGTTTCTTTAGATCCAAAAATCATGTGCCGCTTTCGATCCTGAAATCGTGTGTCAGGAATCAATTTAACGATTAAAATAAATTGTATTCAAAATATCAGCTTGTTCCATGCTCGAACACATACAGGTATTCAAAATATCAATACATGTGGCGACGTGTTAAAGCATGGATCAAGCTTCGTATCGTAAAAAATCGGTCTATTCCCGTTTAACCAAGCATTGGCTTGTTAAAAACACGTCCAATCCCGTTCCGGTATTACTTGTTTGGCAAAGTCACGCCTAATTTCTCCATAAATGGGCCTAAATAATATAAATCGTTCTCTCGCGGATTCATTTAATGCTGTTCCAGCGCTGCAAATGGTAACGCAGTGCGCTCAACCCTTGCAAGTGGACACTAGAGGGCGCTTTGTTACCTACAACCCACTTCGCTGCGCGCACAGTGAGAGGGCCTCGTGTAAGCGCCCGAACCCCATATATCTGGCACGCGTCTCTTCGGTGTCCAATCGCACCACTTCCAAAATGCGTTGAGATGCTTCATTAGGCAGTGAGCAGTCCAGATATTGAATCAGCACTGCCGAGTTCCTGGGTTTGAATCCGGGTTTCAGCCGCCCGTGATTAAACCGTGTTCCCAAAGTGTAGAGAGACGGTGGTCTCGCAGTTTCTAATGACTATGCATTGGTAACTGTGACCGTATGCATTGGTAACTAATGATAAATTTGGATTTTTGCAGCTGTTTTCATTTTATTATTTTGATCCCCGTCTGCCAACAGTAACTCCTGGGTACACATTCTGTTATGTTTCCCTGTGGTCTCCCCCCTAAAAGTCGTCTCCTATTATTTTGCAGCCAACTGGTGCATGACTTTTGTTTTGTATTTATCCTGAGCTCAACTTTGCAACTTTTTTTTAATGTCTTCTTTGAGTTCGCTCTCATAGGCAGTTCTAATGACTGTCCTGCTGTAAGCGAGTCTGAAACGGGTTACTATTTTATAAGAGCATTTATGCCTTAATTTCTCCAATGATTTTTTTTTTAAACATCTTTTACCGTCACTGTGCATAACTTTTGCGAATATGCATCAACTCGGCCAGCCCCATTTAAATATGCGTCCCATTACATAGTGCGATCTCAATGTGGCTGTTCCATTTTTGTAAATGCATTTCATTGCTCTTCAATATGTTTTATTTAGGCCTCGGGTTTATAAGAGCTTGGATGACCGCATCAATTTACAGTGAGTTGAATGCCTTTCCATAGACCACAAAGGTTAGGCACAATGGTATTTTAAATGCATCGGTCTTTTCTCGAAGCCGATTTTTAGTACTGTATGTATGTAGGAGCCAAGCGAACAGTGCTCTTGGAAATATGAATTTGATAATAATTGAAATGTGCAATGCTCTGCACAGTATTTTGTTCGCTCTCGAAGAGAACGACTCCAGAGGGGCGAGTAGGAACAACAGACGAGTGGGAAACGCAGCAGCCAGCACAGGGGACGTCACTCAAAGGGACGATGGCTGATGGTCGACAATGGCGATGGAGTGACAGCCAAAGGAGTAAACGCGCCAGAGAGGGTCGACATTGGAGTTGGGGCCATGATATCGGCTCTCGTTGTCCTGCGACAGTGAGAGATGGTGACGGCTCGGGGAGGCCTTCATTCCAGCAGTGGATAGGTCGTGGCTGGTGATGGTTAGAGCTCTGGAAATCAAGTGATTCACTCATAAGAGGTGGTTTGACCCCGGTCGAGGTAGTTTTGTGATTTCGTTGGACGCTAGGTGGTGCTCTACTCACTGCAACAGACTCGATTTAAATGTCCTCTGACTGGATACCTAGAGCACAATTGTGATTGGTGGAAAATGGGGCAAAACATGGAAAAGGCTCTCTGCTGTTGTCAACTGCTTGCAAAACATGAATGACCTTTATCATTTGTTTTCTTTAGCAATTTATAAATGTGCCTAATTTGCTTTCTCGGGATCAAATATATAATCTATATACAGCTTGCATTTTGGTATTTTAATAAAGCCTGCATTATAAATATCTTATTTTCCGTGGCCGAGTGTCCAATCTTATTGGTACGTGTTCCGACATGACATCGCACCGCCAGTTTGCGATGAAGAAGGGCCATTGGCAATAACAATGTGTTTTCCCTCTCGGGCCATAGTGTTATTGACGAATGCGTTGTAGGGTGTTTTTTGTTATTGTCTGATTGCTTAGAGGTCACTTAGTCTGCTAACAGTAATTTATAGCGCCTCGGCAGTGGCGTTCAACGACAATAACCAGCGATTAAATTCAATGTCCACACGTCGCAATCCGCACGGTGCGGGGGGCGCATCGTGTAAAGCGGGGAAATTAATTGGCAATGACATCCAGACAGTTCACCTTATATTTATTAATTAGACATGCAAAGTAAGCACTTGGCGTGGTTAAGGCTGTAAATGCCCCCCCCCCCATCTCAGCATCGGCTCAGCGGGGGGGACTAGAGCGGGATGAGCCCCTCCCGCATCCCCCGCCGCTAAATTCGTAGTTGAGTCGAAAAATGTTGGCAGAATATTTAACACCAGTGGCGGTTTTGCCCAGAGTTTGTGCACGGATGGCACTTGATCTGCCACGATGCCCTTTCAGATTTTGCAAGCTTCACGCGATGATACGGACTGCAATTCGGTACCGTAGTCGGATGGGGTACGGTGCGAAAGAAGTTCATACTGTACGCACAAATGAGGGTCCGTGAGAGCCGCAGCCGAATGCGTTGATGTTTACTCTAACATTGTGTCGAGTTCGTTGTATGCGTCGAGAAACAAGATCACGCTATGGGGTTGGCTCGCAGTCAGACGAGGAGCCCAGGGTTTCGGAGAATGGGAGAGGCTGCCTCGGGGCGGTGGACGGGTCGCGGGGGGGTGGGGGTTGTACGAGCTTGAGATATTTGTCAGTGCGTTTCGTACTGGGTCGGAAACGCCCGGGACTGATGGGCGTGTGAAATCCAGCACGCAGCACGACCCGAAACCCACCCAAACGCCGTAAAGCGCACAGGTGGCCCTAGGGACTTGTAATATAGACACGCGGCACACACAAAGCCATTATAAGCGACGTCGCGGGCAGTGCCACAACACAAGGTAGTACTTCTGTGCCGAGTGGGTATGCGGTGTCAGGGACAACCACGGAGACTCTTCCCCCATGAATACACCTCACCATGAAAACACTCGTGAATTGCCCGCGTATTTTTTGTTTTCACAGACTCGTTACTTAAATCGAGGCGGACATTATTTTGGAAATTAACCGGTTGGCCAGGCGCGTTTCATTCCGTCAGAGGGAACGCACAAATGTCAACTTGTGTTTCTCAACTAACGAAAGTTTAACTTGATCCATAATACAGGTCGCGATCGCGATCTAACCCAAAAAAACCCCTGTATTATGGATAATATTGGTCGCGAAAACCTAAGTGTTAAACCAATTTAACTTGGTCTGTCCGGGTTGGTGACCAGTCTATCTTCGTACCCGGGAAGTATTCTGTGAGAAATAACAGCCCAGGCCAATGCACAGCTTACTTGGAGGCCTGGTCCAACCTGGAATGAATGGGGATTTAATGATTTACCGGGGCATCCTATCCCCGGATTATCCCGGATTTTTGAGGACTATGTGCTGAACCTTAACTAACAACAACACCTCCACTAGGGGCATGAGAAACACATGGCTTCGACGTGATTTCCCTCATGTACCCACGGATTCATTTCAGCCAAAGTCTCCGGGTTGGTGACCCAGAAAAAATGTCAGCTACTGGCATGCCACATCCAGTATCAAGATGTCATAAACTACCAAAGCCACTAATGACACCACACCTCGCCACAGCGTTTATACCCTCTGCGAGATCCCACGTTCCCACAGTCGATATGCGGCTTCCAAGGATCTGCCCTGATGGTTCTCAACCGTCGTGATATTAGGTCGTCCCTTTGGTCACCAGACTCGGGGAGGCCACTCCATTGCGCGTGTCAGCAACAGGCCCTCCTCCATCCTGCAAACGCGTGTCCTACCCAGCGCAACCGTTTTTTTTTTATCAAATATTTACAACACTCACCACATGCCGCGTTCTACACTGGCCCTTAGGCACTGATTATCCCACCTTGCCACGAAATTCCCAGCATCCGTCCTCAGACACCTTTACCCAAAATGCCAGCGACTTATGTTTCAAGCCGCTTAAATTAGGGTGCAGCTATCCTGATCCGCGCGGCAACATTACACCCAGTACACCTGATGTCGTTGTACTCCCTCCCCCCCGAGGCGCAACTCCAAGTCTCAGCAGCGGCGATCCGGAAAATTATTCGGCGAGAAATCAAAGCCCAGCAGGTTTCATCGCAGCCGCAACATCAGCAGAAGCATCGGTCCCGTGGCCCCATTACCGCTTTACGGATAAATCCATCAGGAGCTGGCTGGATTGGGGGGCGGGGGGGGGGCTATGGCGACCTACTCTTTTTGTCCCTGCCGCTCAATCCTCTGACCTTGTTTTTTGGCGGGATCGCAGCTGGCTGCTGGTGGGAGGGGGGTATGGCTGGGTTGTGGTGGTGGTGGTGGGGTGACATTTTCCGATGGTCGTTTGTCTTGCAGCTCTTGGTGGTGGGGCTTTTATTTTTTTCACCACACAAGCTCTCGCTCCAGAAATTCCAAACCCCAGACACGTTGTATAGTACTCGTAGTAGTAATGCAATGATGATGATGATGGGCATGTTAACCTTTCACCAGCCCAGGGCAAAAAGGTCTGCCCGAGATGACATGATGGTCCTCCACCGGTGACTGAGAACGTCACCATTCCGAGTGCCGGCTGATGTTATGGCCAATTAACCCAACAGCTGGCAAAAGACGGTCGGACCCAGTAAACATTAAACGTTGGGCCGTCGTTGGTTCAACGGTTTCAACCACGTGCCAATGTTGAGCCAACATTGTTACCTGGGGAGAGTGTTACTAATGTGGGCAGGAGACATGGCAACTCGAAACTCCCACAACCTGCCTTGGGTTCCCATACAAATGTGAGAAATTGTTATCATTAGCCATGATTAATCCACTGCTGGATAATGGCTTCCCCTTCCAAGCTATTACCATCTCTATCTTTCTCGTACGAGAAACAATTTGTTCCAATAAAAATATCCCCATTGTATTGAGCATAAGTTGAGTGACATGTTTGTATGTTGGACTTCTTTCGCACCTTACATAGCCAACCTTGCCAATCGGAGGTGGGGGGGGGGGGGGGGGGTGGAAGGACATCAACACTAAACAGTTCCAAAGAAATTCGTTTTCAATCCAGATTTAACATTAATATTCTCATAACATTTTCAAAAGTGATATTGTCAATCTTAGCGGCCACTGTGGCCACTGCGGGCGTTGTTTTATGGAGACATGCTGCTGATCTTCAATTATTTGGTGACGCTGCGGTTTGGATCGTTGTTGGCCTAACCTTGGTCCAACGTTGCACGTCTGCTGGATGGTAACACACGTTTCACGTGTTTAGAAGTACATCAATTGCCCCAAAACGTCGCATATTTCATAGAATTCGTTTAAGGCCACAATGTTATTGATGAATGTGCTGAGTTTGTGTTGGTCGTCATTGGACAGAATCTGTCACATGTAGCTTGTTTTGATTTGACACGCACTCAATTGCCCCACCATATCTGGCCACTTCCATCTTTCTATGTCTCCGTCTCGCCCTCTCAATCTTTGCTGTCTCTCTCTCTGTTCCTCCTCCTTGTGCTCAATCCAAGCTTTCGCGCTCTCTCTCTCTCTCTTCTCGCCCCCCCCCCCCCCTTTCACTGGAACAAACTTCCCCCTGCACATTAAGCAGTCACCTTCCCTCGCTAGTTTCCACTCCGCACTCAAAACTCACTCATTGTTCTCTAGCTCACCCCACGACCCCTTTAATCTCCCCCTCATAACCGCCACCGTTACTGTTCCCTTTTCATAATCTCATTATACGTCTCTCACTCATTCCCAATTAATTCAATCCATTCATCACCGATTTCACGCCTCGTCACGGATTCGCCCGCCCCCATCGCTTCCTCTCATCTATTTCATTCACCTCATCGCCACCGTTACATTCACGCGACCTGGCGCTTTATGAATTCCGTGAAAATAAGATTGGGTCCTAGGGGCCTTTGCGAACAACAACAAAAAACATCTCAGCCATTCTCGATCCACCGATAGATGGAGGCCTCGCCACGCCAGTTGTTGTCATACTTCACCACACTGGTCACCGCGGGTCGGTGGAGAGGGGGGAGGTGGAAGCCACCGCCGGTTCTTGTATCATTGGCCACTGACGTTAGCCGTGGGCAGGAGTCGAACGGTGCAGTGCAGGGCACTAACCGCTATAGCCACCGCTTCCGTCGCCAAATGTATTCATTTGATTAGCACGGTGGGCTACGTACGGTGCGAAAGAAGTTCAACATACATATATACAGTATAGGATAAATGTTATCTTCTTCACAAATAGAATGCAAGTTTGAAAGGAAGTGTGCGTTCATATCCATCCTATGGATACATCTTTTCCAATACCTTAATTCTTTTGAATAGGCAGCACACAATAAATGAATAGAACAAGAATAACTAATTCGTTTACTGAGCCCTCTGACTGGCAGCCTACGCAGTGGGTCACCCGTGCACAAGCACTGTCCAGGCTCACCTTCTGCTTAGCTTCTGCGACCTGATGGGACCATTGGACACGGATCCCAGGTTCGTTTGGACACGGGCCACAAACAATAAAGGAATCGAAAATGGGTGCCATTGATTTCTAAATGCACGATTCGATGCACGTGTCATGAGATTCTATTATAGTTGCAAAGTCAATTTTAATTGTCTCATCGACCGGCCTTCACAGGCCCCCAAATATGCACTTTGTTCACGGTTTGCCGAGCACAGTCGGTCCACACACGCAAACGTCCAATGGCGAGGGGAGTGGGTGAGGTTTGTGGGTGGCGGTTGTATCGGCCACTGAACGGCACGGAGGGAGTTCGTCTGTCCTAAAACTAAACAAAACAATTTCAACTTTTTTATATTTTTCCAGGTAAGGCCCACTGAGATATGTCGCTCTTGTTCATTAACGACCTGGCCACAAACGATAGCTCGACGAAGTGGCTTATCACGTGGAAATCTAAAGCAACGAAGCATGATTCTCAATGTGGAGGGAAAAACCGGAGGACCCAGAGAAAAATCCACGCGGCCACGGAAAGAGACACACGAAAACTCCAAAATATACAGCAGGGAGTCAGGGTCGAGATCGAATCCACGACCTCCTCCTGTACACCGGGCGAGGCGGCAACTTCTCGCCCCCCCCCCCCCCCCCCCCCCCCGTTGCGTCCTAATAGCGGAGGCTCTTTCCTACGTCGTGTGCGAAAACACCACGGCGCACCGGTCGCGAAGCGTCGCTCTGTATCGTGCGTGGCCACCGGAGCGTCGGAGCAGCGGTAAATGTGCGAAACGGCGTCGTCGACACGGGGACACGACGAAGACTTCGTACGAGGTGCGAGTTTTATTGGAAACAGTTCCCACGCAAGTGGCTACAAACGCGAGTGCTCGGGTGCTGCCGCCGTCTCTCTTACAGGGTTCTACTGTGTGCGTTAGTTAATATTCCCGAGTCCTTAAAAATCTCTCACGACCCTCATCGGGTGACCCCCCCCACCACCTCCCCCCCCCCCCCCGTACGAGCGTAACTACTCTGAGATCACGACACACAGTTTGTCCCCCTTCCCAAAAAAGTGTCACATTGCAACATCATACGTGTGTGTGTGTACATATATATACAATTTCAACAAGTTATTTTAAAATTGCTTACTCGGAGAAGGCCGGGGGAGGTGGGGTGAGAGTTGTTCCATTCAATTAATAAAAAGGCAAACGCGCCACGCCTTCGTGGTCGGGAGACGGTCGCCAATGTGTGGCCGCTCGGCTCAGCCCGACGGCGATTCCCACGATACGATACACACCTTCACGATTAGACGATTATCGCAAGATCAGTTCCACCGTCACACCCCACCCGCCCCCGCCCCCCCCCCCCCCCAACAAACAAAATAATATATTTTTTGTATTTTTCATGATGCATTGTATCGCTTTGTTGTGCTATCAAACTCTTATTGGCACGTGGTTTGGAATCGTTGACTCAACGTTGGAACTGTTGGCCCTCCAACGTTCGGTCAACGTTGGCACGTGGTTTAGAACCATTGACTCAACGTTTGAACCGATGACACCACGTTGGCACGTGGTCAACGTTGGCACGTGGTTGGGTAATCGGTTCCAACGTTGAGTCAATGGTTCCAAACCATGTGCCAACGTTGACCCAACGTAAGCCCACAATATTTGCCCTCCCAACGTTCTACGTTTAACTGGGCAGTGTACCGTGGCCCCACCTGGTCTGTTATTGTGTTCACCGACGCACCCCTTGATTGTATTCGTGTCGTGTCTCCATTGTGTGTCTCTCTCTCTCACAAGGTTTGATGTCAACGTGGTTCGCGATGTTCAGCGCCCTGCGGTGAAATTTATACAACTGACGCCATAAAAAAGTATCGTTGTCATTACTTCCAGTACGAATGATTTCTTCAACGTTATTCAACTGCGGGTCCCTCAGCGTAAGCCCACGACACGGTTTAACATTGATTGCAACGCTGATAATGCACATGCTGTCAGTTAAAACTAAGATTTGGATTTTTTTACATTGTACTTATTTCAGCAGGAAGGGCTCAATGAAGCTGCTAGCTTCTATTTCATTGGCGTCCTGCGACGGTACAGATGTTGTACAGTACACATCTTAGTGACAACAATAATGGTGACATAAGCCAATTAAATTATTCAATGACCGATGAAAACGGTGGCAATATACGTGTAGTAATAGTAACGTTGGCAATGTATTAAAAAACGCAATTCGCAAAAGAACTTGTTGAATGGATAATAGACAATTATTTACAACTTTAAAAATCGATTTCTTTCTTTTAAATTCAACAAACATTTCATCATGAAGCAAGCTATTTAAGTGAGATCAAAATGAGCGGCGGTAGCATGCAACGTAACGATGTTTAGCAACTAACAAAAAGGACGGTGTGATTGAACGATGACTCGCCATTTACTTCCATTGGGACACAGCAATCGTCACCCCCCCCCCCCCCAATAACTATGAAAACTTAGCAGGATCCTCCTGAATAAAAATTAAGAATCAGCGAGGGTTTCCTGAGTAAAACATTTTAATGACCCTTTTTATTGAAACCGCTTGACAGTATATCGTACAACGAGTCGTCGTACCGCCAATATCGCGGCGGCCCTAGTGGCAACTCTAGCGAGACATGTGCCCATGCATGTAAACAAATCCACACAGACACGCACCCACACACACCCTAACCCACGAGCACAGCTACCCACTACTCTACCGTATGTGTGTGTGTGCCACTGACCCCCTATAACATTGCGGTTGTACCCCTCCTCCAAGAAGCCCCAGGTGGGTCCTGTTAATTTCAGGGTTTGCAACAGACATAATTAAATGGCTGGTACCAGAGAACCGTGTCCCAGATTTGGGGAACGGGGGGGGGGGGGGCTGCGTCCGGTCACACAAAACACCGAGCGAAAAATTGTTTCGCCCCAAAAGGGAGATTCTCGGTTCGATTATTAAACGAATATTTTTTGAGGATGTGGGACGTTGCCGTGGTTTAATGGTGAGCGCACCGCACTTGTAGTCCAGGTCACCGGTTGCATTCAATCTCCCGGGCACGGCAGTTGAATGAAGAGAGCGAGTTTCTTAAATCCCTCTTGCCTCCCTCTGTCCATCCAGTTGGTCTATAATTGGCAGGTCACGTGTGCTAGTGCAAAGTGTGGGTACTCCCACCTCTTGCAAGACGTCTTATCACCATGGAAACGTAGGGCCAAATGCTCCATTACAGAGGGGCTCTCTACAGTGGCCTCTAGTGGAGGCCCCTTCCGCCAGCCCTGACATGGCCAAGAAATTTCAGGGCTGCACTTTTGCACTTTTTGTAGAAAAGCAAAGCCCTCGCCCACAAACACGAGGCCTGATCTTGAACATTGTTAACACCCTAACAACCAACCAATGACATCACAAACCCCGATGCCAGCACGCGCCTTTGTTTGAAGCAACAAAGTGAAACGGCTTAAAAGCCCTCACAGGGCCAACGTGAAAATGCGTCACCGCTGAGCGTTAAGGCCAAGGGGGGACTGAAACGGGGTTTTTTTTTTAGAAAATGACGCCACATGGGGAGTGGGCGAAGAAAATCGATGCCTTCGGATCGGGAGGTCAGAGGTTGGTAAGGTCACAAGGTCGCAAGGCCTCCCCGGGACATCTGCCCAATTTGTCAAAATCACGAGGGCACTAATGGAGACAGGTGGCCAAGCTGCGTGGGGTTTGGCACGTGAATTAATCATCGCGAGGTTGGGCAATGGGGAACGGTCGCTGGTTGGGTGGGTGGGTTCGGGCGGGGAGACCGGGGTACGGTCAAAGCGGATAAGTGTCAAATACATAGCGTGTGACAGGCACCGTGGAGATGCGCGGTAGTTGCCGGGCAGCAGCAGGGAGGTGAAGGGCAACGTTTGTTGGACGGCGGCGCAGGGAAGGAGTGCCGGTGACCGTCCCTGCTTGGCGCACGTCCTGGGCAGGGCCGAGTTAATGCAGCGGCTTCAGCGGCAGCAGTCTGGGAGGGCCTCGGATTTTGAGACCCCCCACAAAATATGGGGTGCCACGGTGGCGAGATGTTAAATACCTCGCCTGGTATGCAGGAGGTCGTGGGTTCGAAACCGACCGTGACACCTATGGTGTCACGACCGCGGAGCAACTCCGCAAACGCCGCGATCCCCTCCCGGCCCCCGCACTAAACACACACACCCACACACAGCGCACCCACATAGTGTCCTGACAGGGGGTTGCCTGGCACATCGGGTTTTAATCCGAAAGGTCCCACGGTTTCCCGGTGCCAGGAGATTGGCCGACCCTCACAGGACAGGTTACATTGCGGTGCCCCTAAATTGGCTTAAGATTTGTATGGGCGTAGAAGGAAAAGGTTCACTAGGCCAACCGCAATGAGTTACTCGCGACACTTGGAGAGGCGGAGGGTGGAATATTAGGCCAGAAGGGCAAACCAGTGGGTTAGAATTAATGAGCACATCTGCCAGAGGCACCACGGCAAGGCTACGGTGGAGGAACAAGCGTCGCCGCATTGTCGACACTGACAGTGGTACTGATGGTGATAGTGGTGGTGATGGTGGTAGTGGGCGAGTGGCTGAGTGAGCGAGCGAGTGGCTCAGTGAGTGTGTGTTGCCACGACCGCGGAGTTGTGCCAGCCAGTGAGCGATGTCGCTCAGAGAGGGCGCTGGCGCGGGGCGGCCGGTCACCCCATCGGCGGGGGCCCCGCGAGGGGCGGCCGACGAGGAGGAGGGGGGAGTGGAGGGGGTGGACGGGGCGCCTCGCCCGCTCGCGGGGGAGCGGGGAGGCGGACGTCGCCCCCCACACACACCTGTATATGTGGAGTTTGCATGTTTTCCCCCGTGGTTGCGTGTATTCTTCTCCAGGTCCTCCGGTTTTCCCCTCCACATTTAGAAACATGCGGCCAGAGTATTTGGCTGCGGTAAATTTCCACGTGACAAGCCATTTAGTTGAGCGAACATTTTGTGATAACCAGGCCGCTTCTGAAAAAGAGCTATATAGCTCAGTGAGCCTTACCTGGTAAAATAAAAGGTTTAGGTTTAGTTTTATATACAGCTGTAGCACCGCGATAAATACGATGTGAAATTTGGTTATCAAAGCCAAATCATCGATGTGTGCATTACTGATCAGTTATACGTTAAAATAAAAAATAGTTTTGTTCGTTTCAACCGTGAGTTAGCTTCGCAATTTCTGCATCGCGTTTTTAAAAATAGATCCAGGTAGAATAAACAGGGTGGACAACAATGGAAGTGTTTGGCATCATTGGGCGTGGCTGTTAGTAAATCAGGGAATTAATAGAATAGACAAAGGGGGGTGGGGGGTGGGGGGTGGGGGGTGGGGGTTGGGGGGTGGGGGGTGGGTGGGGGGGGGCAGGCAAAACTATACCAGTCCTCGGCCCCCCCTTAGACTTAATCCGGCCCTAGTCCTGGGAACATGATGCAGCATCGCGCATGCTGGTTACCCTGGTAACAGCGGAAACGTAAGGTCACATGTACCTCTTTTCCAATGGCACATCCAAGCCGCACCGGTACAGGGCCCGCACAGTACGCACGGGTGATGCTTCGCCCACTGCTTGCGGAGCCGAGCCAGAGTCGAACTGTGAAACTCTGGCCTCACAAGACGGCGTCTGCCAGAGCAATGCCCATTCGCTGACCGGTGCCGACTTCTCCTTGTGCCTCAAGGGACAGCAGCCACCAGGGGGTGGGGGTGGGGGTGGGGGGGGAGATTCCCCACTTGTTGTAGACCACCTTGAGATCTAACTGCTTGGAAAACGCGGTATGAATGCGAAGTGACGACGATGGCATCTGAATCTTCTCTAGAATTCCATCTAAGTGGATTCCCTTCCACAGGCAGTGACGTGAGCAAGCAATTGCAGGGTTCTACCACTACCTTTTACATGGAACTGCTTTCTTTTAAATGCTCTTTGCGTTTAGTTTGTGGTCCTTCCCCACACCTCCGATTAGCACGGTTGGCTACGTATGGTGCGAAAGAAGTTCAGCATACGGTACATACATGGAGCAGCTGAATGTACGCATCTGATGAGCCTTAGCACGGGTTCTCACTGGACGCGGAGGGTGGCCCGGCTAATATTAATTAACGAGGGTTTTACATTTTGCTGTTAAGTGGCTATCGTGGTGAATTCCTAACACAGACCCGACTGCCGCTGCTCTCTCGCGCCACGTAATCATTAAGACCTGCGCACACCAAACGACACCACACGACGATCTCGGCAAAACACCTCGACGAGGAAACACGATCACAGACTTGTAAAGAGATGACCGACGCCGTACGGAATTCCGACGGCGTGTGGCCAACGCGGCGGCCGCCATCGCGCAAGTCCAGGACGCGTCGCGGCCCGATGGGGGCCGACTGGTCGAGACTGACGACGGAGTGGCGGCCAAAGGAAGAGGGGAACGCGCACCGAGAGGACGTCCACCGCAGAGGAGGAGCGGCGGCGGCGGCGGCGGCGGCGAATTTCGTCTTGCGCGCGGGAGCCGTATGGGCTGTTGCGTCGCAAGCCCGAGAGATGCAACGACGGCTTGGTGGGGGGAGACGTTTATCCAGCATTGGATGGAACATGGTCTGATGAGGACGACGATGATGATCCATCTCGGGAGGTGGGGAAGCCGTGTGGCTGACGTCTCGCGATACCTCGACCGCACGGCTCACAAGTCCACGCGTCGCTCCCAGCACCGTCGCCGAGGCTGCAGGCCCCCGCCATTTGCTCCGTCTCTCTCTCTCGACGAGCGCCGGCGAGCGCTCGACATCTCCAGGCACCAACTCTTCTGCCCGTCATGTCCAACCGAGTTTGCCGCCTGTGCCGGTTTGCCTCGGGCGTCCTCTCGTCGCAGTGGCCGTCCCCGGGAAATCTGTCGGTCTTCCCGATGCATTAAAGCTCCCCGCTTTGTGTCAGCTGTGCAATAATAGCAACAGCAGCGATGTCGACACACCGCTCGAGACAACGCATTTTTCCCACGTAGTCCTCCCACTCTTCGGGAATCGTGAGATGTTATCCTTCTGGCAAAGAGTCTTGGTTCGTGTCTCAGAGGTGGCGACCATACGGCCGACGGGCTGGTGGCGAGCTCTGACGTCCGCAGCTCGCACGCGCGCGAGCTGCGTGCGTGCGAGCGGGTCTCACTCGGCTGAGCGTGTTGGGTGGCGAGCCCCGCGGAGCAGGTCACATGTACATGGGCTGCAGCTGTAGACTCGATGGCTTCTGCGGGGCTTGGTAGGACGTCGGGTACGAGTCGAACCCTCCGATGAAGTCGACTGCACACGGCGAGAAGAGGTTAGCGCTCTCGTCGAAGTGTGTCTGAGCATGATGATGTTGTCGTCATCATCATCATCAGTGTCAACACCGCCAACATCAGCATATTTATGAATTTTGTCATCATTACTTTCATCATCATCATCATCGGTATCGTATGAGTAAGTTGTTGCTATTCATCCATCCAACATCATCATTATCACCATCACCACCATCATCATAATTTTCGTTATTGTCATCATCCACAACATAACTGCTTCCATCATCAACACCATCACCCAAACCGTGACGTTTATCGTCACCACCAACACCACCATCATCATCATCACAGCGAGTACATTTTCTGCAGCCCAAACGTCTGAAAATTAAATAAAGCTGCTGCTGCAACGCATTCGTTAATACAACTCTGGCCCTTAAAGGAAGAAAAAAATATATAAACTCTGTGACATTCCGCAGCCTAAAACGGGCAGAGCTAAATCATTAGAGTATAATCAGAAATGTCCTCTTATACGAGGTAAAAACAACAGAGAGCAGCAAACTTCGAGCTGCATCTTTGAAGGCACGAACCTGCACCACCGTCTTTAGATTCCGCATCGTTTATAGCGTGAATAGCCCTGACTGTGGGCCCGATCAAAACGAGGTCTTCCTTGCGTTAGAGACTGGGACCGACTCAGTAGCTAAGCTGCTGATTCCCCAGCACGAGATACCACAGCTTCAAGGAGCCAAGCACACCACAAAGAAAAAGATCCCCCGTATAGTCCTAACAGACTTTTGGACCAAATGCTGTGAGCGAGCACCTATGAAGGCCAGCATGGCACACGAGGGGGTGGGTGGCCAGCACCACCCAGGCCGCCTTTTTCTCCCCAGTGACGATGTTTATACACCATACCAGGTACTCATTTGAGGCTGAGTCGATGTAGGGGAGGCCCAAGACCAGTTTGGATAATCGTCACTGGTGTGAACCGTGAGCGGGAATCGAACCCGGGCGCCGGGTTCATAGTGCAGCGCGCTAGCCCGCTGCACTACGACTCCCCACACACATACACACGCCCATGCACATACATGCATAACTGCACTCTTACACACAAATACAAACACAAAGAAACCACCGCTGCGGAAACACAGCGACGCACGAATCGTCGAACACAACAACACCGGTCCCTAATCGCACAAGCGTCCGGCGAGCCACGAGCCATGGGGGTCGCAGGGGGTCAACTCACAGCTGTCCTCCTCCTCGGTGAAGGCGTTGATGAGATAGCAGGCGTAGACGAAGCCCATCAGCTGCAATGACAAAGCACAGCGGTGATCCCCCACGCGGCCTTCGTGGATGCAAACACAATCCTCCACGCTCATCGTCCCACTATGCGTCATCGTCACAGCGTGAATTTAATTTGCCCGCGGGCCAGGTTGTTAATGAGGTCTCGTCCGCTAAAGAAATTTTGGCTACGAATTTGATTGTCGGCCACGGTCAATCCACTGCTGGATGAAGGCCTCCGAAAATGTGCTGCCGCCACCACCTCACAGTTCCGGCGATGCACGAATGCACCTATCCAGCCTCGCGCCTGCATTTCCCAGCTTGTGTGTTTTCTGACTCGGCGAACCAGGGGCACAGGAGCCGGGCCACGGAGTGGCGTCTGCAGTCTCTGGGCGAACGCTCCACTCGTGCGGAACCGCGCTGCGCGGCCCAGGCCGCTTCATTCCGATCGGGGCGCCACGGTATGCATGTTGAACTTCTTTCGCGCCGTACGTAGCCAACCGTGGTAATCGGAGGGTGCGTTAAATGGGTTGACACGGCGATGGGTTCTTGCACACCCGCAGAGCGAACGTGGTAAGGGGCCTGACGCTCGCCGCGGCCGGGGCCCCTGAGAGTTCTGCTCGGACGCCCCGAACTAGACGAACGAACGGCGCCCCGTAGGCTTGTGCCTCGTTACGTCTCCCATCCCAACCACGTGGTTCTCGTGCGATGACGAGCACGAGCCACGAGCGGCTTCCGAGCGGCGCTGGTGACATGGTCGAGCGGTAGCGCCTTAGCCAGCTCCGCCTGTTGCAGAGGTTCGAGATTCAAAGGCCTGCGGGCCACCGTGGTTAATACTGCGGATGCATTAAGAGTGCATACTACACGCCGTGTGCTTCACGGCGGATATTAAAGAGCACACAGTGTTGTTATTCGAAAGACAGCAGGTCATGCATCAATATTGCCATAATTATAAGAATTACTGGAGTAAATTTTTGCCAGATTGGAAAAAATTTACTCAATTGGGAAAAACACATCGCAACGTCGCAACGCCCGGTACCATGGGGCATATGCGCCGGCTTGCTTTCCCCAAGTGGTGGCGGTGTTTGAAACGTGGCATCGACAGCCCCCTGTGACACGCTTGCTGTTCCTGGATCGATTCTGAACGCCACGTTCTGGAGTCGAACCTCCAGAACGTGCCAGGCTGTAAAGGTGGCACGTGCCGTTCCATCGCGCGCCCCCACAAAGCGAGAGGCCGACCCCCCCCCCCTTCATTTCTGAAGGTTTTTTTTGGCCAAATCTCTCCGGCATTATCGATTTCATTTTATCTTAAATCTGAGAGACTGAATGTTTTCACAGGTCTTTCCCAATTTTATTGCTTTTGATATGCTCTTATCTGATCGTGCTCTCACGCTCTTTCATGTTAAATTGTTTTTTTACGGTAATTAATTCCAGTGGCCTTAAAATCATCCCATCTTTTCGCTTACGAACCACCGGTTCCGTAGCCGAGCGTAGTTGCAAAACGTGATTTTGGCAACCCACTCGTTGAGACTTGTGTTACGAGTTGCGCATTAGATACTGATGATTCTGCTGCTAATTATGAAGATCATTGCTGATTAGGAGACATTACACTTGGCACGTGCACGTAAATTAGCATGTACACGAACATTCTCTTGGAGAAATGTACATAAAAATGAATGAAAAACGGTTGAATATTATTTTTTTTTAAAGAAGAATAAAAATTTAAACATAAATAACAATCCACGCCTGGTCTCGACCCCCTAGTTGCGTGGACCTCACAAAGGGGGGGCAGGGTGGGGGGGGGCGGAGGGGGGGGAGTGCGGCAGCGAGGTTCCATCGCTCCGTCCACGACGGACAAGTCAATCAATTTCAATTAGGGCTCTGGGAACGATAAGTATTTGCTCAATTAATTGCCGGGAAGCGGCGCAGCGTAGAACGGCCAATCGTTTATGGTAAGTGGTCACGGTGCGGCGCGGGTCGCCCATCCGCCGGAGAACCGTGACGTTGCCGTGTCAACTGGAGTGTTCAAAAAGAGAAACGCCACCATATCCGAACAGACAGACGGGCGGGCCATCGCGGTGGCAAGCGTGATGGCTTTGACGGTACGGTGCGAAAGAAGTTCAACATACGCGCATACATGCATACATACAAGCGTACACACGCACAGCAGCATTCCGCTCCCCTTTTCTGCCGAACAACCAAGCCGCCGTGCCGGGGGGGGGGGGGGGGGGCGGGCCCGCACCGACCGAGCCAGCGCCAGGACGCGGCTCAGGTCGGTTGTTTTGTTTGCCACCCATCGCAGAATTCGAGCCGTGCCGCTGACGTCACGCGCAAAAGGAATGTTGCTGACACGCGCCGACTGACGTCACGCGCGATGTGCGGGGCGAGTCGCGCGTACTTTTAATTTCACCCCCCCCCGCCTCTGGTCCTTGCTAGGCTCGGAGGCAGGTTTGGATGGATATACGAATGCACCGCACGTAGTCGACCCTGCTAACCGGAGGTGCGGGATGTTGTCTTGTCAGGCCAGAGTTCTATGGTTTGGTTGTGGCTCGGCTCAGCAAAGAGTGGGGGAAAAGGACCCCGTGTCGTGAAGTCCCACACGCTGGCTCGCCTCGAATGTGCGAGTGGAATAGGGGTAGAAAACAGAGTTGTGGATCTTTTTCCTTTCCAAGGGACCTCGTGTCTCTCCGCGAGTCTATGGGTTTCCGTGCGAGGTCAAGAGGTTTCCGTGCGAGGTCAATGGGTTTCCATTTGAGTCTATGCCTTTCCATACGAGTCTATAGGTTTCTGTGCAGGTCTATGAGTTTCCATGCAAGTCTATGGGTTTTCCGTGCGAGTCTATGTTTTTTTTCGGGTCTATAGGTTTCCGCGCACGTCTATGGATTTTCTCTGCGAGCCTACGGCTCTCCCCTGGGGGGCTAGCTGCAGCGACCGTACTTTGACGGCACATCCCACCAATTCTCCCTTCAGCCGCGCTCCCCTGGACTGGTCTCCCCATGCCGCTAATTCAGCAGCCACAGCAGATTCAATTTCCCACACGCGGTGTCAAGCACTCCGGGGGGGTTTGGGGGGGGGGCGGGAGAGGGGGGGGGAGAGGGGGGCACGCTTCAAGGGATGGGGGGGCGGAATATCTATTTATATAAATAATCCGAACCCCCCCCCCCCCCCGCCCTCGCGTCAATACAGCGTCGAGAGCCAGGCTGACCATTTTGGCTGCGACCTTCGGCGAAATTAAGGTCTCCCCGGGAGTGTTTATTGCGAGGCGGGAGACAGCTGGGAGTGATGGAGGCTTCCGAGAGGCAGAGGAATGTGAGAACCGTGCGAGCTCGGGTGAGGGCGAGAGAGCGAGAGAGAGGAGGAAAAGAGGGAGATTATGAAAATCGGATTTGGAGTCTAAACGTGGCCACGCACGTTTCTGATGGAACAGTGTTGCGTATTGTCTCGGAACGCGGTGGGGTGGATTGTGGTCGATAACGTCGGCGCCGTAAGAATTCGCGCATTTAAACATTTAAGAACGGCGAAATTCCTCGTTGTACTGCACTCCTATGCTGCCGTGTCAACTCTGCCAATCCCGCCCAAACTACCCCCCCCCCCCCCGAGCCAAGCGTCGTGCGCTACGCTCGGCGCAGCTATTCGTGACGACGAAACTCTCCGTGAGGAGAGACGGCCGTCCTTCAGACATCAAGCCGCAGGTGCGGCGAATGTGCGGAGAGAGAGAGAGGGAGATGGCCGCTCACGCTTCGGTCTGCACGACCACATCAACAACGACAATGACGAGGACGCACGTCATCGTCACACGCGTGCTTGGTACGCGCGCGTGCGTCCATCACGCGTCCATCGCGCGTCCATCACGCGTCCATCGTGCGTCCATCACGCGTCCATCACGCGCGTGCTTGGTACGTGCGCGTGGATCCGTCGCGCGTCTCCGCCACGCGTGCACTTATCGCGTGCGTCCGTCGCGTCGTCTCTGTCGCGCCTGCGCCAGGCACGCGTGGCGTGCGCGCTGGGTCCCTCACGGCGAGGACGATGTGCAGGCCGGCGTGCGCCACCTCCAGGTACTGGTACTCGAGCAGGCAGCCCGGCACCGAGATGTAGGCGAGGCCGCGGCTCTCCCGGCCGGGGGGCGGCTCCACGGGCGTCACGCGGCACCCGGGGCCGTTCTCGCGCCACCACGAGCGGTGGATCGACGCGTGGAGCGTCAGCACGTCGCTGTCCTGCGCACCGCACGCACCGCCGCACACGGGTGAGTAGCAAGCGCTCCCGACGACGCGCGTTCCGTTCCTGAAGAACACCGCGTTGCGGAACAATCGGGTCGTGGCAAATGACGTATAATATGGGGGGGGCAGCACAGTCCGTGACAGCGTGTGAGACGCGTATGCAGGCCCGGACAAAGACCGAGGCACGTGGGTAGCATCGAGAAGCATCCGGCAGCATTCCCGACCTTGTGCCATCCTGCACCGAGGCAGCCGTCATGGCCGCTCATCCCCTACTCGCACGACGTAGTTCTGGTTCGCTTAATCGCACTGGGTCGAGTTCGCGTCGTGAAAACAGACGGTGTTCGGGGTGCGCCCTACGATTTGAACACCGCGCTCGCACGAGCACACGGTAAAGTTGGTCGAGGGCCATTGGGGCGGGCGGGAAAAGATGCCGCGCCGACTGCTGTTTGGACCGGAGGTCGCGATAATGTATCGTCTGTGGTGACGCTGTGATATCTGCTTCCCCCCGAGTCCGTTCTGTGCAAACGCGAACGCTTGTGCTGCTTTGAGAACATCCGAACTGATTCTCGGTCTCAGTAATATCGGGTGATAAAGATCTTTTAAGAATTGCTTTTTAAAAGGTTGTAGGTGCTGTTTGCAAGCACCTGTTAAGGTTGGAATAGCGCACGAGGTGGTGGTGTGGCTAGGGCCATTCCCGGCCGCCTTTGTCTCCCGAATGACGATGTTTATACACCACACGAGGTACTCCGTTGATACTGAGTCGACCGAGGCGAAGCCCAGGACTGTTTCAGGTAATCGTCACCTGTGTTAGTCGTGAGACGCGGGTCGCTGAGTTTGTCGAGCTAACCGCTGTTCTACTGCTCCCCACTACAAACAAAGACGAAGACACACCCACACACGTAGAGACAAAGACAAGCAAACACACCCCTACACATCACACACGCCTGACAGCCCACAGCAACTATTGTTAAATACAGAAAAATGGTTCAATACTGGAAGCCCAAAGCATTGATGGTTAAATACCGGAAGCTCACAGCACCGATGGTTAAATATTGGAAGCTCATAGTACCGATGGTTAAATACTGGAAGCCCACAGTACCGATGGTTAAATACTTGAAGCTCACAGTACCGATGGTTAAATACCGGAAGCTCACAGCACCGATGGTTAAATACTGGAGGACGGGAAGACAAAACCTGGCACGCCCTTGGCACACGAGATGGCGTGAGCATCAGTCAAAGGCCACGCCGCCACCACCACCGCCGCTGTCGCCGTCCCAAGGCCCCGTGGATTCCCGGGGAGTTCCTCTCCCGCTCCCCCGTGCCACCGTCGGCTGGCAAGGGCGGCGACACGCCCCGGGGTTCAATCGCCATGCGCCCGTGCGGAACGGCACCGACAGAGCGGCGCAGGTGGCCAGCGCCGATCGGCAAGCGGCGGCCGTCACCAGCAGGCGCACGGTGGCACCCCATGCCATCTGACTCCCCCTCTCCTCCATTGAACCCCTATCTCCTTCTCTACAGGTGATCCCCACTGACCAACCCCTGCCCGCAATCCCCTCTAGCTCCCCCGCCCGCCCACCCCTTCAGCCCCCCCCCCGCCCTCCCCTTCACACAATCTCCTCTGAAATGACTTCTCCGTTCCTTCGTCTACTCAAGGGTCGCCACGCGGTGAACATCCCAAGCGCTGCCGGCGAACGATCCGAGCGGGCGGTGGCGTTTCTCTGTGGGTCCGTGGTTTGAGGTCGGTGACCACGGCCATGCTGTGGGTAAATTTAAATTGTCCACTGCCACACGAGGATAGCTGCCTCCACCATACAATGTTCTGACACGGTTCAATAGAGACCTTTGTTCCGACAAAACTGCCTCCCGCAATCTGTATATATGTTGAACTTCTTTCGCACCGTATGTAGTCAACAGTGCTTCTGAAACTCTCTCTACTTGTGACCCCCCCCCCCCCCCACTGAAGCCACCTGTTCAATGAACCCCCTCCCTGCAGGAGACCTCCTCTGAAGCCTCCTCGAAAGGTAACCCCCCACCCCCTCGCCCCCCCCCCCCACTGATCCCCCACTCCACTGAACCCCTTGGACAGGTGACTACCCAGAGACCCCTGAATAGGGCGGTGGCGGTGGCCCAGCGGCAGCGCCGTTCGCCCTTCGTTGCAGAGGTCCACGGTTCCAAGCTAGCGGCCGCCCCGATTATTACTTTGGGTGTAATTACCACAATTATTACGACACACCGTCCGCTTCACCGTGGACGTTAAAGACCCCCTGAAGTGATTCCCAAGATCAGGCCATCGTGTGCTGGCGTCAGGGTCCAACTTTTCCAAATTCAACATTGCAACGCACGTGACTCAACTGGGCTTACACACGCAGCAGCGGTCAGATCAGCGCCTCCCCTGCTGGCAGGGTTCTCACCTGGCCACACAAAATCAAATAAACGTTTCCCTTAATGATGAGAAACCTCGCGTCCGAACATTGACCGCACAACCGGGCCACGCTGAGGATGTGCCGAGCCATCCCAGCACAGCTCAAGAACTGCCAGAATCGCAAACCCCTCCAACCCCCCACCGACCCCCCCGCCACCCAACTGGACCCTAACCACCGTCTTTTCGTTTGACCCGCACCGAATCCACTCTCTCCCCAGCGAACCCCCCCGACCGGCTGACCCTCTGCGACCTCCGCCTCCCCCCCTCCTCCCCCCGTTCATTCTTACTCCCTTCCATGAGGGGCCAGGGCCCGGCTCGTGCCCGCCGGCGACAGGAAATTGCGCAGCTGTGACCTTTTACGCCGCGGGTTTATCTCGCCGTGGCCGCCGCTGTAGACGCGGCCGTAGCCGGCGCGATCGCGCGATCTTGCTTAATAAAAATAAAAAAAACGCACGCCGCACGAGCCGCCGCGGCCGAGAAGACGTGGCGGCGTTCGGAAGGCGTCTGCGTTAAACATCTTTTAGCACTATCGGGGGAAACGCGCCCAAGCGGAGCGGAGAGAGCGGGCGGGCGGGCGAGCGGTGGCAACCACGGCGCACTGCCACCGATCGTGCGGCAATAAAACAATTTTTGTGTCGTTGTTATCAATAAAAAAAAAATAATTTACACCATTCCCGCCAATAACGCTGTACGGTCTTTAAAAAAAAATATACGAGGTGACGTGTCGGGCAATGGTCGTTCTTTATGTGCGAGGAAGAAGGGCCTTTGCGTGAAACGTCGCCTATGACACTAGAAGCCCTGTTAATGAGCAATCGCTGAACGACGGGGCCTCCAAAGATCGCAATGTATTCGCTTACCCACAATTCCTCTGTTAATGACGGGCTGTTGTCGGGACAGAAAATAATTCATTAATGCATTGATTAACCAGAGTTTTTTTTTATAATGTGTTTATAATGTTGTTAGTATCTTCATGTATTAATATGTATTGTTTGAAGATTATAAAATGAGTATTTTGGGTGAATAAGGTTTACTTTCGATGCTATCAGAACAAATTAAGCCTTTAATGTGTATTTCCTATACTCGCTTAATGACAAAATCACTTAACGACCGGTTTTGTGGAACCAATTACCCTCGTTAAGAAGGGTTCTACTGCATATATTTATCTTCAACACTCGATTTTCGGCGGATTTTTTTTTCGAACTGAACCGAATCATCGGGAAAACATTCCTACTGCATACCTCGTTACATGTTAGAGGAGAGAGCCCACAGAGCAGAATAAAAAAAAATCACGACTATACACGTCGTGTTATGATAATACCACCTGTCATAATCATTCATAGTACTAATCATAATTATCAGACGCGAAAAATGGCAGACAAAGGCTCGTCTCGGAGAGACTCCCTTCACAACAGCGCAGCGGAGTCGACACCGCGGGAAGATGATGGACAACGTGATGAGATGACGACGGTGATGAAGACGGTTTCGCGAGGGCCGTAATTCCGCCGTCAACAATCGGAGGGGTGAAGGCTCCCGTCATCCGGCGAGGAGACAAAACAAAAAACGCTTCCCCCCCCCCCCTTCCCACGGGAGAGCGAGCGAGTGAGCGAGCGAGTGAGCGAGCGAGCACGCGGCCGCAAATCAATACCGTGCGTCGCTCCGAGCAGATCCGTTTTCCCCATCGCCGCTGCCGTCTAACGACGAAAAAGAGCAAACGGCGAGACCAGCAGTAGCCGCTGCTTGCCACGGGCACCGCCACACGCAACCCCTCCTGTTGGCTAATGAATGCCCCAGGTGACACTTGCAAATGAAACTATCCTGGCCTCTCAACATCCGTCACCTGGTTAAACAGGATAAATAAAACACCTTTTCTGTAAACGGTGAGTAACTTCGCCATTGACATTAAAACCTTCTGATTCGTTTGACCCTCCCGTCCGTCTTTTTCCAACTGTAGAACTGAGCCACGCCGGGGGGGGGGGGGGGGGTGTGCCGAGCCAGCCGGGCACGTGGCTCGGGAAGCCCCCAGGAGCGATTTCCCCCCTGCAGGAGCCGCCGGAGCCATGCCGCCGGTGTCACGCGCAGCGAACGTTGCCGAGACGCCCGCGAGCGACGCGGCAATCGTGGCGGTGGAGCCGCCGGACGCCACCGAACCAGATTCAGGTCTCCGAGCGAGGCCGGCGTATCTCACAGCTTGGCTTTCGGCTTGACATAACACATAGCCGGCGGAGCGCTACTTGTTCGTTCCGTGTGGGACCCCGCACTGGCACGTCTCGGATGTGACAATGGAAAAGGGGTATCGGTTCGCGTTGCGAGGTCGATGCGTCATAGGGTGCCATGGTGGCGAGATGTTAATTGCATCACCTGGTAAACAGGAGGTCTTGGGTTCGATCCTGATCCTGACGCCTGCTGCATATTCGGAGTTTGTGTGTCTCTCTCCCCCGTGGTGGCGTGAACTTTTATCCAGGTCCTAACGGTTTTTCCCTCCACACTTAGAATCAACGTCACACGCTTGGAGTATTTAGCTGCTATAAATGTCCATGCAATAAGCCATTTCGTTGAGCGATTATTTGTGGCCAGGTCGCTATATAGCTTAGTGGGCCTTACCCGGTAAAATAAAAATAAAAAGTTTAGTTTTCGATTCTGTCTCGGATTGGCAAACAGCACCGGAAAACCGTACAATGAGGGCCTCCCACGCTGGCTCAGCTCGGATGTGCCAGTGGAAAAAACAGGTAGCAGTGTCCGATACCTCATGGGTATCGACCGAACACAACTCCTGGCTCGACGTCGCCTCTTCATGGCTCTCACATTCCGCAAATAACACACGGACGCACGGAGCCACCCCCAACCCATCTCCTGGTGTGTGAGAAATCTACTAACCCCCCCCCCCCGCCACCAAAGCCACCAGCAGCAGCACCAGGGGTGTGCCAGCATCTTAGGAAATTTAACAAACAACCGTTGTGTCCAGATTAAGTGAAGCCGGCTTCGGTGACACAAAGGCACTGGGCACGCGAGGGTTATAACAAATGCAAAATCGCAGCCAGAAATAAATAAAACGAATGGAAAATTTCCGTCAGGGGTTTGGGACTTTGGCCGGAGCAGGGGCGGCGAGGATTTTTTGTCCCCCGCCTGCCTTTTGTTGTGCGTCCAGACACCCGAGGCCGAGGCAGCTCCCGGAACAAAGGTCGTCGTCTTTGTGGGAGGAGTTTTTCCCCCTTCGTATGGGTTTTGGGTTTTTTTTTACCTTCCGATCCTACTTTTTGTTCCATCCGCCAACCATGCCATGCACTCGCAGTAAATGCCAAAACATGGCAATTATTAATCGCGAATGTCAGGGCCACGGCCGCGATCGCAACGAGAAATAAAAGCAAGCCCGCGCTCGACTTTTCACCGCCAGCAATGTCAAGACGGACATTCGTGTGCTTGCCGGAGTCGCACACTTGGGGTCTCCCCCTACATCCCCACCCTCCCCCCAACACCCCCTACTCAACGTTGCCCTGGGATTCGTTGGTGCTGCCCTCGCTGCCCCAGCTATCCCTGGGGCTCGTCATCATCGTCGTCGTCATCATCGTCGTCTTCATCGTCGTCGTCTTCATCGTCGTCGTCGTCATCATCGTCGTCGTCGTCATCATCGTCGTCGTCATCATCGTCGTCGTCATCATCGTCGTCATCATCGGTATCATCACCGTCATCATCATCGTCGTCAACGTCATCCTCATCATCGTCGTCATCATCAGAGTCATCATCGTAGTCATCATCGTCGTCGTCATCATCGTCGTTGCCGTTCCTTCTGGGTTGCTTTCTCGTGAACCGTGCTGTGGCGGCGCTCTCTCTCCGCGTTTCCCTGTCCAGACCAACGATCACCCCACCACCGCCCCTCCACCACCTCCCCCTCCCACCCATAGGCCATTCTTTGCTTTCATTTTTGTAAGGTATCTTGAGATGTGATTGCCTTCAGGAAAACGTGGATTGATGCATTCGCAGGACGCATGAGTCACGGCGACAGCTTGGGGACGCCTACATCCAGCGGTCGATTGATCCTGCCTCATGATCGTGTTGGTGATGATAAGAGGTGGTAAAGGTGCAACCCGACAATTTCCTCCACACGCCACTGCTGGTGGAAGGGGACTCCACGAGAGGGAGCTGAACAGAGCCCCTCTATAGGGTGCTTGGTCTTCCACTGTGGCCACTCCACCCTGGAAGAGATCGCATTCAGACGTTACATCCGCTGGCGGAGTTGCCGTCGCTGTCGAATGCCCGCGCGTCGCTAAGAATGTGCCGCTGCTCGGTCACAACCGAGGCATGGGGTTCTACCGGCCAAGCGAAGCGACGAGTAGAGAGCCACGCGGGCACGCGACCCGACGGGAAGAACGCGGCGCGGCATGCGCAGCACACGGCCTCCGGTCGACGTCCTTCAACAACGCCCTCCCACGCTGCACAAACGAGCGGGAACAACGCACGGATGGACGGCAACAATGGGGAGTGGGTGAGGGGGCGGGGTGCAGTTGGGGGGGGTAGGCTCCCTGGGCGGGTGAGAACAAGGGCCCCAGCCCACGGCCCGGCTCCCTCGGGGTGCAGGGGCCCTGGAGTCGTCAACTTCGGGCGAAAGTCGCCGAACGAACCTCGACAAAGTCACCGGATGCCACACGAGGTAGATAGAACCATTATGGGGGGGGGAGGGGGGGTTTGTTCACTCGAAACTGTACCAGACGATTGACCAAGGGCTCACACGTAGTAAACCCATACGCGATCCTGAATACATCATTCCGGTGGATCGCACCCCAAAATCTGCGTAATATTCTCGTCCCCAAAAAGTCGCGAAGATTTGTCGCTGCTACCGGTGAACGCGGATTGTCGGGCCAATGTTTAGGTGCAATGGTTGCGAGCTGACACATGCCCAACGTCGGTCTAACGTTGGCATGTTTGCTGGGTAGTCGGCGGATAATCCTCGCGACAAAATCGCTCAGGTGGCACCCGATGCCCGACGAGCCGACCGAAACGCAGCACACCTCCGACATTGCCAGAGAAAGTAATTCGTGCCCCGCGACTCCGTCGGCCGCGGCGAGCCGGGCCCCTCTCATCGCGAAGCTAAGGGCAATTAATTCGAGCCCCCTTTGAAACGAGAGCGGATGCAATAACGGGAGGCGCCCGCCACCAGCCGCCAACGCCGCGTGCCAGGCGATGGCAATTTCAGATGTGTCCCGACATTTTCTGGCGACGCTTTTGACTTTGCGCGATCAGAGGGAAAAGTGAGGGGGGAGTTGAGGGGGGAGGGAACCGGGGGGGGGGGGGGGTGGATGGTGGCAGTGGCGGCGGTGCTAAAAGCACGCATGCGGCTCGGAGGCAATTACTCGCACTGCGGATATACACACAGGTTTAACCCGGGGGCCTCGCGCACCCTAAAGGCTACAATTTGCATATTTAATACAGAGCCTGTAAAAGTGAGATTGCTCTCCAATTAGGGCTCGAAAGGCCAGCGCTGATTTATAACGAACCGGGGATTTCCGCTCCCCTCCGGCGGACCGCCGGCGTCGTGCGGTCCCCGGTACCGCGGTTCTAAGCGACACGTCGTAGCGGCGCGTGACGTCCGCGGCGTTTTGCTGAACCATCGTCTTCATCGTCGTCATTATCGTCGCATGTCTCACTTTACCTACATATCTCATTTTTCCGGCCGAAAAATATTTAATTTTTGCAAAATAGCAAACTCGGTCATTAAAGTTGTAATTAAGTAGCTATCAACCATTGCGATACTTCCATGTGCTCTCCACAAAATGCTATTCGGAGTAAATTGGCAGCGTGGCCATTATATGGCGTCATAAATTCTGCAGTCCGTTGGATCGTTTATTGATTTTGTGCAGCGGATGGCGTGCGTTTTCGCAAGCATCACACACTGCATTGCCGCTAATATGCGTTAACATGCTCGTGGCGGGTGTGCGATGAACGTTCAACAACTTCACAGTGAACTTTTTTCGTGCTCGAATTACCAGAGGCAAATCATTAATCTATCGTGCGAGTGTAGTCGTCCTTGCTACGATTGGTTTGTGCTGCATTTCGATTGGATTTTATCTGTACGAGTGCAGTTTTCATTTTGTTTGTGCGCAGCGCTTTGAGATATTTCGAAATGAGAGGCGCTTCGTGAAATAAACAGCAATATTGTTACTATGACGAAACCAAAATATTACATTTCATACGTAGCCTTTCATAATTGTTTATCTTTTGGGTCAGGTCATCGTGTAAAAATATGCGTCGTAAACCCCACCCCCCTCCACCCGACACAGCCAATTAATCAATTAGTCACGTGACGAACTGACGTGTCAAATGTATCACGGCTACAGCAGCACCACCGGAGCGAGGGAATTGGCGCGTCCCACCTTGGACAGCCCGCCGACCTCCAGGTAGAAGCAGATGAGGAAGATGTTCCACGTGAGCCACAGGACTGTCCACACGGCGTACTGCACGGGGGTGGCCGGGGGAGGGGAGGGAGGGGGGAGTTTGTCAGTGGGCAGGGTTGCAGTGGACGGCACTTGCAGGGACACAACGCGTGGCAGGCACGAGGAGACAAAGGGCAGCAGAGAGATGCGAGGAGAAGACATGAGGAGGGGGTGGGGGGAGACGTGAGGATATAGACGGAGCCCGGGGATGCGCTGGGAGGAAGCATGCAGCGGCACAGGTAGGCAAGGGGAGACACGAGGATATACGTGGGTGGCATAAGGTGGCACGGGGGAAGCACAGAGACACACCGGGGGTGGGGGGGTGAGGACACGGAGACACACGGGGGGGGGGCACGGAGACACACGGGGGGGGGCACGGAGACACACGGGGGGGGTGAGGGCACGGAGACATACGGGGGAGGGGGGGCATGGAGACAGACGGGGGGGGCATGGAGATACACGGGGGGGCACGGAGACACATGGGGGGGCACGGAGACACACGGGGGGGGCACGGAGACACACGGGGGGGGGCACGGAGATACACGGGGGGGGCACGGAGATACACGGGGGGGGCACGGAGATACACGGGAAGACACTGGAGTGGGACGGCACAGGGAGGCTCACCAGGCCCAGGTAGCGAGGGCGGAACTGCAGGACCCCAAAGAGGCCGAGGATGACGGCCAGGATGTGCAGGAAGTTGGCGAGGATGGGCGCCCACTGGTACCCGAGGAAGTCGAACACCTGGCGCTCCAGCGTCACCACCTGCGGCGGGGAGACGGCGTCGGGCGCCGAGCTATAGAGACGCGACGCGGCACGCGGGGCACCGGCATGGCCTCCAGCGAGGAGACGTGCGACGGAAGACGCTCGCCCAGACGCGCACGGTTCCGCATCGCCATTCCATTCGATAGCCGATGTTGTTTTGTTTTTCTCACTTCAACCGCGCGTCTCGTTTGTTGCGTCCTACGTTCTGTACTGCACTGCCTCGTATACGCTCCGTCTTGCTTGCCGTCTCATCCCTACCGGCTGGCACGCAGAGGGGCGTGTGTGTTGTGCGTGTGTTCTGTGTTGTGCTCACGGCTAACCTGAACAAGCAAATATCTCAACCGGTCCCGTGCCTTCCCAAGGTCGACTCGGCATTTAAACGAGTACCTGGTGCAGTGCGTAAAACGACATCGGCACGGTGGGAGGGGGGAGAAAAGCGGCCGGGCTGGGTTGCAGCCACACCACTCCCTCAATAGGTGCCCCGCTAACAACATTCGCCTTTTACAATGACTACACGAGGGAGGGGGGGGGAGTAAGAGACAAAGGTGGACGAGCGTGGCGCTGGTACTAGCGGGGTGGGGGGCAGAACGTGGAGGGTCGGGGGGGGGGATCTTTCTTGTCTGGTGGTGGGATGGCCGGGCAGGCAGTCCGGCCAGTCGAGGGACTTTGTTGCCGCTGGCGCTGCGAGGGGGCCCAGCAGCGGCCCCGTGTCGTTGTCACAGTTTGTTTTTGGGAGTCAATGTCACTGGCGGGCATGGGAGGCGGCACACGCAATTTATATTTAAATGAGGCTCCGGGACAGAAGGTTATTATTAGATTATTAAATGTAACTAAATGACACCCCTGGAGGAATGTTCCGAGGCAGCCTCCGCAAAAAAGAGGGTCTTCCTCTCCCTCCCTCTCTCTCTCTCCGTAATGAAAGCGCCGTTAGCGCCAAACGAGAAGCGTCATTGACCCCCGCTTCGATCCCTGCGCGGCAGCGCGGCCCCCCGCGGCCGCCGCCCATCGCGCTAATGGCGGAACGCGCCCCCCCCCACCCCCCCAGCGAGACCGATCGCCCTCCGCCGTTCGGCACGAGAGCGAGAGAGCGAGCGCCGTCAACGTATCAGGATCTTTATTTGTCTCGCAGTCGGGGCTGAAGGTCGTCTGTCGCCGCCGTCGGCCATCTCTAGGCGGTCTTGCGACGTTCGACTGATCGCCGCTGCGTCTCACTGCGGTGGACCTCCATCCCTCCCTCCCTGCCTCCCTCCCTCCCTCCCTGCCTCCCTGCCTCCCCTGGCTGCCTCCCTCCCTGCCTCCCTCCCTGCCTCCCTCCCTGCCTCCCTCGCTCCCTGGCTGCCTCCCTCCCTGCCTCCCTCCCTGCCTCCCTCGCTCCCTGGCTGCCCAACTCCCCCCATGGTTAGGCTCGATCATTGACTACCGTCCCCTTGCGGGTGACGTGTTTCTGTCCGAGCCCTCTTTTCCGAGCGGAGGAAACCCTGCTGCCCATTCTCTCTTCCACATGTGCCTCTGTCTGGCGCTCAAAAACGGACAATGGAACAAGAACAAAAAGTGCCAAATCTTGTATATAACAGTGGTGGTAATTTACATCCATTGTTTTTTTTATTTCTTCTAAATCTAACGTATGTACGTTGGACTTCATTCGCGCTGTACGTAGCCAACCGTGCTAATCGCAGGTGCGGGAGAAGGACAACAAACCAAAGACAAAGGGCAGTTTAAAAGAAATTAGTTCTCAATCGAGATTTAAAAATGCACTGATTAGGCATCTCCACAAAGTGTCGGTCATGTGAGGGTTGTTTGACCAATCCTCATGACGGTGATGAGGACGGTGATAAATAAACGAGCGAACGAGCGTGCGGGCAAATTGAGTGGTGAACGCCGCCAGCGGCGGCGGAGTTTTGACGGGGACAAACCGCTCGGCCGCTTTTCAACCGCGCCGCGGGGGGGGGGGGGGAAGGGGTGTGGGGACCGGCTGAAGGTCACTCGTATCGATGGCCGAGCCTCAACGCGTCGCGGGTGGGAGGGGGGGTCGGCTCCTCGGCCACCGCCGCAAGCCGGGACAGACGGAATAAAAAAAAATATCACAATGAAAAATAAACACACACACACATACGCGCGCGTGGCTCATGCGTTTTCCTTCACGGATTCAATTCGTCTCAAAGCGCGCCGATCCCACGCCCTCCGCGATCGTCGAGCGCCGGTGTTTGGGGGGGAAAAGCAATATCCCAGCGACGTGCACACACCTGCCTCGTCCCGTGATGGTCATAACTGCCTCTGCTTCTCCCTGCGTCACATCAATGTCTCCCACTGTGGGTATGCGCCAAACCAGCCCGGAAGCACACACACCACCACCCACACACCACCACCCCACCACCCACACACCACCACCACCCACACACCACCACCACCCACACACCACCACCACCCACACACACACCACCCACACACCACACCACCACCCACACACCACCACCACTCACACACCACCACCACACACTACCCCACCACCACCCACACACCACCCCACCACCCACACACCACCCCACCACCCACACACCACCACCACCCACACACCACCACCACCACCCACACACACACCACCACACACCACCCCCCCCACCCACACACCACCACCCACACACCACCACCCACACACCACCACCACCCACACCACACCCCACCCACCACCACCACCCCCACACCACCACCACCCCCACACCACCCCCCCACCCACACACCACCCCACCACCCACACACCACCCCACCACCCACACGCCACCACCCACACACCACCCCACCACCACCCACACACCACCCCACCACCACCCACACACCACCCCACCACCACCCACACACTACCACCACCACCCAAACACCACCACCACCACCCACACACCACCACCCACACACCACCACCACCCACACACTACCCCACCACCCACACACCACCACCACCCACACCACCACCACACACCACTACCACCCACACACCACCACCACCCACACACCACCACCACCACCCACACACCACCACCACCCACACCACCACTATCATCTGCACAGCCCTACCACCACCACCGACCCACCACAGACACACCACTGCCACTACTAAACACCCACCATCGACACCCCACCACTACCATCAAAAAAACCACCACCACCCACCCACCCACCACTGACACCACCACCACCACCCAACCACCACAGATACACCACCACCCACACAACATCGAAACACACCCGCAAACACTACCACCATCCACACACCAGCTCAGGAAGCACGAGATTGTTTTACACTACAGAACCAGAACTGTGCTTACTGACATCACACTCAATGAGCAAAAATGATTAAACCGCCCCCTGGCCCTACATGGCCCCAAGCCAAATTCACATCGCCTTGTGAAGCCACAGCTGCGCAGTTTGCTTCTGGCTGAGATCAGCAAAACGTACGGACACGCACGGCAGTGTCTCCAGCACAGCGAGTGTGCGGCGCCGCAGTGGTTAGCGCACGGCATCACGTCCGTGGAAAATTCAACTCATTTGCGAATACGAACCCGGCCACCAGAGTTCGACTACCGCTCATGGGCCAACGCCGGTTGCAAGGTTATCTGAACCAGAACCTTGACTTCAACGAGTATCTGGTACGCTGTGTAAAACATCAGCACGGGAGAGACAAAGGCACGGTTTTGGCCACCCCCCAACCCCATCGTGTGCCGCGCCGGCCTCCATAGGTGCTGCTCGCTAACAGCACTTGCCCCAACAGTCCTGCGAAGGCTACACTGGGGGGGGGGGGAATCATTGTGCACGTGACTGTACGCTGCGAGAGACAAGAGTGAGTGGTGAGCGCATTCTGTGCACGTGTTGCTATGAGACACCGCTCTAAAGAGAGCGGCTAACCACGGCAAAACAATGTTGCGTTTGATAAATGCTTTGTCACCAAAGCCCGTTCATATGGGACGGTTTTTTATGTGAAACGATTGAACGGCGGCCAAGCTCGCTGGCACGGTGCTGGGGCTGGAGATGGTGATTGTGGCCATATGCATGCAAAGACAAAGATCCCCCGTAGAGCCTACACAGAAGATTGGGGCAAGAGCTGTTAGCGAGCACCTATTAAGGCCGGCACGGCACCCGGGGGTGTGATGTGGCCGAACCACGCCCAGTAGCCTTTGTCTCCCGAGTGGCGATGTTGACACACCGCACCAGGTACTCATTTGAGGCTGAGTCGACCTAGGGGAGGTCCAGGACCAGTGAAATATTCGCTACTGTTATTGGTCGTAAGCGGGAATCGAGCTCAGATCGCCGGGTTCATAGCACAGTATGCTGCCCGCTACACTACCGCTCCCCACCTTGTCACTCACAGATTCCGACACACACAGCCACTGACACCCCAAAGACAGAGATCCCCCGAATAAACTTAACATACTTTTGGGCAAGTGCTGTTAGGCGAGCACGTATGAAGGCCGGCACGGCACACGAGGGGGTGTGTGGCCGGAACCACCCCCGGCCGCCTTTGTCTCCCAAGTGGTGATGTTTACACACCGCACCAGGTACTCAATTGAGGTTGAGTCGACCTCGGGAAGGCCCACGGCCAGTTCAGATAATATAATCGTCACCGATGTCGGCCGCGAGCTGGAATCGAACCCAGGTGTCCGGATTCGTAGCGCGGCGTGCTAAGCGCTACACTGCCTCTCCCCACGCCCGCACCCCAGCCAGACACAGACACGCGCATGCACACCGGCAGATCATAAGCCCCGTTCTCCCCCGTCGCGGAGGAGGCCCTATCAGGGGCGAGGGAGGGCCCCCCTGCCCGCACGGCTGCTGGATGGATGAGCGCAATGCAGTGGGGTCACAAACCGGGGGCCCGCGGCGGCGGCAACCGCAGCCACCCGGCCCGGGATTCGTGCGGCAAAGCAGACGCTGCCATTAGGGCCACGGGAGGAAAAAACGAAATTAAACATTCCGCTGTCGGCATATTTGTTTTCAAAATAACGGGCAAGATG